CCTGTGGCTTGGATTCACTTCGCGGCTCACTTCGTGATTAACCGGAATACACCCAAACGCATCTCGCACATGAAACTCATGACGACTAAAATCGCTCCATCCGTATGGCAGCATGTTTAGCTTTTTGAGCACATGAAGACTGGATTGGCCGAGGCAGTCTCGCGCGGACACGTTGAATCCTTTGTGCTGCGCAATACTGATCAACCCAAGAACTGATTGATGATTCCATCCATTTGAGGGATTGAGGAGATGCATAAAGGTCTGTCCAGCAGTGTTTTGAGCGTTGATGATGCGGGAACACTCGCCCTCCATGAGAGCCCGACATAACACTTCGGGAGTAGCGCAAGCCCCCAGGAAATGCAGCGCCGTGTTTGAAAAGCAATCACATGGCAGATCATCAAACTGGGTGGATTGCAGATTCAAGACGGCTGTGGCAAGATCTGTCAGTCCATCGGGCATCAACCAGCAGATCTTGCCTCGATTCTGGATGCAGCCACACCAGTGCCTCCAGGCCGCCAGCACTCCTGAGCTGTTCGCAAAATCGAGACTTTCAAAACTGACAAAAGCTCCAGGCAAGATCAAGGAATGCTCGTGGGAGTGAGGCATTCTTTCAGCCGGCTCGCCAATCCAATCATGACTGGGATCCACACGCTTGTCGTGCTGCGAGGAGGTGCTTGACTGTTCGAGTGCCGGCGAAGTGAATCTCTTGACAAGACGCTTGACCACCTTGATATAAGGCTCTGTGTATCCCTGGAGATGATTTCTAAAAGTCCCCGTAGTCCTTGCGCTCGATTCCGTCATGCCAGTAGTTCGCTGAAGGAACGGGATGAATGGGCTAAAATCCTGGCCATCGTCCACAGAATGGTCTCGGCTTCCACGACTTTCGCCCGGGCTTTCTCCTGGAGCATCAGGCATAGCATAAGAAAGCGACATCTGCGACTCCGAGAAAGCATCGCTGCCGTAAATGGACTCTGAGCAAGCGCTTGGTGATGCGCCGATACCAAGAAAGTCGCTTCTTGCATACAGCGAAGACTGGTCCTGGGGGCTCAGATGAGCCGATGACAGCTGCACCTCCCAAGCCTTTTGGATCTGGGTTGGCGAATTGGCCAGCTCGGTGATTCGTCGCCCCATGTCTTTGTTGTCATGGGGATGAAGCCATCGCGGTTCCTTGTCAAAGAAGGACTGGAGCTTTTTGTTCGCGGAGCTTTGCCTATTGACTAATTAGCATGGACGCGCCAAACAAATGCCTATAAGGGAGCCAGTTTGCCACCATCCAAGGATTCTACGATGGCCAAGCTGGATACAAAAACGTACTTTATGGTCTTGTCGGGAGAATGAGCGTTGATTATGGCCCGAATCTTTTCGGCCGGAAGCGTGGTGTACAGATACAGCCGGGCCATTTTCCGCTGCGCAGACCAGGACCACGCTGAAGGGCGGCCATTCGGAGTGGTTGGCTGGCTGTTGGGCAACGACGATTGCGTTGGTATCACCAACGTGGTGACGGGACGCTGGCTCATGGTTCTCGGCTTCGTGCAGCTCTAGCTAGCTAGACTTTTGGCGTAGGCGCTCTCGACGAAGCTCTCAGGGCCCAGTTCAGCGTTGAGTGAAAGATGCAGACTGAGGAATGGGCCCTTGTGCCCGCATCAACGAGTCGGAGAGGATTAAAGGTGTTGGGCGCCGCATGTTAGTTGGACTCTGACGTTATTTGAACCGCGTCTAAGGATGGCTGAGGCACAAAAGAGGGCCGTCGAAAGCATCGCGCGAGCTGTGCCACCGTCCCATCAGAGACTTTGAGCGTCTGGTCTCACGGCCGGCCGCGGTGCATCGGCTGGGGATGCGATGCAGCGTTCAGCGGTCATCTTGCTCGCTGCTCATGTTGGTTTGGAGGCATGACGCAGCGTCATTGGTGGAAGGGCGACTGCGCCTCGCCATCCTGCTGCAGTGGCCGCTGAGAGGGTGTGGCTGGTCCGTGGCGGAGCACGACAGCACTGAAGATTATTTAACTACTGACATCACGGCCCCCAATCGCAGGCCAGAGAGCTGCTGTTCGGCAGCGTAGATTTCGCAGCTTACGGCCGTTTTCTGAGGCTGCATCAGGCAACAAACCACAAACCTAAGACTGGCATCCAACAGCAAGGCTCTCCGCCAAAGAGTGAGGCTCCAAGGCCAGCGGCCAGCGGCCAGCGACCACGATAGTCATGCGGCGCCGGCTACGTTCGGCATCCAAGGCAGCAACGACGCCGTGCCGTTTACAAAAGACCGGTTATGAGCAGTCTTTGTGGATTGCACAGCATCTGCGTATCTAACATAATGGCATCCTGCGCAGCATGAGCAGCACAAGTGATCACGACACAGCATTCTGCATCTACTGTAGGTCTAGTGAATCCATCCTGACAGCACACAGCGGGGAGAGCCACTGGAGGTAGCACTGCATTGGGTGCTACAAGTACTGCAACTGGTGCTGCGTCCTACCATCTTTGCTCTCGCAACCTCGACCCTTGTATATAATGTCCGAGTTTCAAATGCTGCGCTCGAGTCCACTTCAACGTGCAGCGCGCATGGTACCGATCCCCGTACCTGTACAAGACTCATGCGCATAGCCCTGCGTGGAGCTCGAAAGAAGCAAGCAATAAAATAGGGGAATGCCTGTATCTGCGCAGGTACAAATACGAGTTAATCTCCAGGGCAAGGGCTGCAAACCACGCGAAGGACTCCATATAAACGGCCAGGATGCCGGATCCAGCAAGCAAACGTTGCAGCGCTGGCTGTGCCCGAGTTTACGGCTCCACATACAAACAGGCTCCCCCAGCACAACAGGCAATAAGGAGAGAGAGAGAGAGGCCATCCATACTTGTATAAAAGGAGATTTCCAACCGAGCAATTATACTAACGCAGGTAGGACTCGGCGTGACTCGTGCCAGCCGGGGATTGACGATTTCCCCGGAGAAGCGAGCGGTGAAGAGGAAGAAGACTGGGCAGCTCGCGTAGCAAACGAAGACGTTGCCCAAGGCATAGAGTAGAGAGAGCGCGGCAAACAGCATGTGTTCAACTCAGCTCTGGTGGAGCGCTGCCTGCAAGGAGGGATGGCGCAAGAGCCGCGGAGTTCGGAGTGAGTAACCTATGTACTACTGTAAGCTCTCACTGGTGCGTGAAAAAGCTCATCCCATCAGCGCCCGGGTGCCTGGCCTGGCCTGGCCTGGGCTGCTGGGCTGCTCAGATCGATGATCGCCCAGGCACCATCTCGTCCCTAAAACCCATCGAGCGTCGCACTAGCAGCTGGCGATCCGAAGACGCCGAAGCAAGTGAACAGAGAGACACGCACAAAGGTCGTATACATACAAAAGCAGGCAGTCTCCATACCGTAACGAAGCAGGGAACCAAGCAGCTTCGTCTACTCCACAGCATTAAAAAGTGACAGTGGCCCGCCTCAGACAAAGACGACGAAAAACGCCTCACCTCCACTCGGCCCAGCACTTAAACAACGCCACATCCGACATCCCGCTATCCGCAAAAGAAAAAAAAAGAAAAGCGAAGAGGCGAAAAACAAGAACGTGGGACGCACAAAAAGCCATGAAACATGCCGCCAGGCCTTACGTGGACAAGCTCCCCCTCCCCAGTCGCTGCCCCTGCGTAATTTGGCTAGCACTAAAGCGGCATCCCAGATCCCCGGAGGACCGCATCTTTTAAAGTAAAGGCGCCCTTTGGTACCTGCATCGGCATGTGTCAGGTAGAGTGAGTGACAGTTTTTCGTGTGCGTACGTGGCTGCTGTTAGTGCTAATACTATATGCATGTTATACGAGTTGGACGAGTACTACCTTAGGTACCCGTCCAGCGGTCAATGTAGGGAGTACTCTGTGGGAATTCTTGCATACTGTGCAGCTCAATCTTGCAGATACGAATGCCTACCTACCTTGCCTATTCCGCAGGTTTATCAAGGATGCTGGTATTTGCTGGTTATAGAAGAAAACTCGTATGGTGCTGATGCCACTTCTCTCACCACATCGCAAAAGCACAAGGGCAGCAGTCCAGCAGATCTCATAAGCACAATACCCTTCTAGCTCCTTGCCCGACAATCAACCAAAAACAACACTCAAATCTTTTCCCAAATTTGTTCGTTCCTGGCCAAGCCTACCTACCTATTCATCCTTGCAAACACATTCCATCCCTTCTCGGCGAGTACCGAAAAGAAAAAAAGCATACAATTCTCTCCCATCACCATCCTCTAACCCAAATGAGCAACGCCGCAGAACTCCCACATTGCGGTGTTTTTTTTTTTTCTTCTTCTTTTCCTGTCTCTCGTACCCCTGCTCTTAGCTCCCATTGTTCCTTTTTTTCCGTGTGCGGGCAACACCTTGTTTCAGCCACCAGATCTGACTAAGGGGGGAGGGACCCGGCCGGAGGACGGAACGTTGTAGCCTTTTTGGATCCGGGTTCCTGACTAGCATCGAGAGGAGACAAGTCTGGTTTTTGAGTTTTCTAGGGCAACGTCTTTAATCACAGCTCTCAACACCATTACTGTAGATTCAAGATAACTGAAAAAAACGCAATAATAGATACACGATAACTGACGCAGTAATGCTATATGACGAGAATATCAGAAAAACAAGTATCACATCCTCTCTAGCCATTAACTCAAAACCATCAAGTAGAGCCCCAAGTCTCAGGAACTCAAATGCAACCAGATCAGTGTTTAACTAAACACTCTAATTCTCACTGCAAATATTAAGTAGATGAATCCAAGCACAGAATCACAGAGTAAAGAAGGATAATTTTAGACTGCCATTTCATTCAAACTAATATAGAATAAGAAATAAATATGGCCGTTACCATATGTAGCCCGCTCTGTGTATCCAAAATCTATAGGACCTGGCGCGGCTAAGAATAAAGCAATAAAAAGATCCTTCTCTAAATCATACTATTTACACGTTTCCGAACATTATGACATGGTTGACTCCCAGTATATGTTCCAGACCCAAAAACACACTTTAGCTTATCCAACTTACAAAAGGAAGACTGCGGCAGCGGCAATGGCAGCGAAGATGCTGCCACCAACACGGCCGGCAGCGTTGACAGGAGGAATTCCTGAGGGAGAGCCCGCAGGAGGACCGCCAGCCGGAGGACCAACGGGGTTGGTACCGGCAGGAGGGGCGGGAGAGATAACCGGAGGGTTAGCCGGAGGAGTGTACACCGGGGAACCAGCGGGAGCAGTGCCAACGGGAGGAGGAACAACGGGAGCAGTTCCAACGGGGACCGAGGGGTTGTAAGGAGGAACAACGGGGGCAGTTCCAACGGGGACCGCGGGGTTGTAAGGAGGAACTGCCGGGTTGGAGGGAGGGGCAGAGGAGACAGCCGGGGGAGGCACAGGGACCACGGGAACGGTGACAGCGGCGGCGGAAGAGGCGGGAGGAGTGATCACAACTGCGGGGACGGTCTGAGACACAAGAGTGGAAGGACCGTTGGGGTAGACAGTGGTGGTGACAGCGCCAACAGGGCAGTTAGGAGTTCCAGGAGGGCATCGGGTGATGGTGAAGGTCTGGGTGATGTAAGAGGTGGCCGTGGTGGTGGTGGTAGGCTCGGCAGGGGCAGAGTTACCGGGCTGGCCAGCGGGCTGAGAAGGCTGACCGGCGGGAGCAGAGTAACCGGGCTGGCCAGCGGCAGGCTGAGAAGGCTGGGGGTGACCGGCAGCGGGCTGAGTGGGGTGAGCACCCTCGGAAGCGGTAACAGGGCAGATGGTGGTGTACAGAGCGATGGTGTCGGTCACAGTCTTGGGGCGCGTAGGGCAGTTGGTAACCTCAGGAGGGCACTGAGTAATGGTGCGAACTGAGGTGGTGAAGACGGTGGAGGTGCTGAACTGAGGAGCACCAGTGGTGACGGGAGAAGAGCCACCGGAAGTCTGAGCGGGGGGAGCACCACCAGCAGGGCCGGAAGGTGAAGAACCAGCAGGGCCAGAGGGAGAAGAGCCAGCAGGGCCGGAAGGTGAAGAACCAGCAGGACCAGAAGGTGAAGAACCAGCGGGGCCGGAAGGAGAGCTGCCAGCAGGGCCGGAAGGCGAAGAGCCAGCAGGTCCAGAGGGAGAAGAACCAGCAGGTCCAGTGGTAACGGGAGAAGAACCCTCAGAGGTCTGGGCAGGAGGAGCACCACCGGCAGGGCCAGAGGGAGAAGAGCCAGCGGGGCCGGAAGGTGAAGAACCAGCAGGACCAGAAGGTGAAGAACCAGCGGGGCCGGAAGGAGAGCCACCAGCGGGGCCGGAAGGAGAAGAGCCGGCAGGGCCAGAAGCGGTAGGGTGGGCTCCCTCGGAGGCGGTGACGGGGCAGATGGTGGTGTACAGAGCGATGGTGTCGGTCACAGTCTTGGGGCGCGTAGGGCAGTTGGTAACCTCAGGAGGGCACTGGGTGATAGTGCGGACAGAGGTGGTGAAGACAGTGGAGGTGCTGAACTGAGGAGCACCAGTGGTGACAGGAGAAGCACCACCAGTGGTGACAGGAGAAGCACCACCAGTGGTGACAGGAGAAGCACCACCAGTGGTGACAGGAGCAGTCTCGGTGACAGCAGGGCCAGTCTCGGTGCCGGTAGCAGGGCCAGTGGCAGCAGGGCCAGTCTCGGTGCCGGTAGCAGGGCCAGTGGCAGCAGGGCCAGTCTCAGTGCCGGTAGCAGGGCCAGTAGCAGCAGGAGAAGTCTCAGTGCCGGCAGGGCCAGTAGCAGGGCCAGTAGGAACAGAGACGGCAGGGCCGGTCTCGGTGCCAACAGGGACGCTCTCAGTGCCAACGGGAACGCTGTAGGGAACGGAAGCAGGACCAGTGGGAACGGAGACGGCAGGGCCAGTCTCAGTGCCAACGGGAATGCTCTCGGTGCCAACGGGGACGGAGACGGGGACGGTAGGGGCGGAGACGACGGGGCCAGTCTCGGTGCCAGCAGGGCCGGTGGTAACGGGGAGCTCGCTACCGGTGGTAGCAGGGCCGGTAGGGACAGAGACGGCAGGGCCAGTCTCGGTGCCAACGGGGACGCTCTCAGTGCCAACAGGAACGCTGTAGGGGGGAACGCCGGCAGGACCAGTGGGAACGGAGACAGCAGGGCCAGTCTCAGTTCCGACGGGAACGCTGTAAGGAGGAACACCACCAGCAGGGCCGGTAGGGACAGAGACGACAGGGCCAGTCTCGGTGCCAACGGGGACGCTGTAAGGAGGAACACCACCAGCAGGGCCGGTAGGGACAGAGACGACAGGGCCAGTCTCGGTACCAACGGGGACGCTGTAAGGAGGAACACCACCAGCAGGGCCGGTAGGGTGGCCGGGGAAGTCGTGAGTCTTGGTCTCGTCGCAGTCCTCGGAAGACTGGGTAGGCTGAGGGTGGCCAGGGAAGCCTCCGGTAGGGTGGCCGGGGAAGCCACCAGTAGGCTGTCCAGCGGGAGGAGTGACCGGGTGACCGGGGAAGTCGTGGGTCTTGGTCTCGTCGTCGCAGTCCTCAGAAGACTGGGCGGGAGGAGGGTGACCACCGTTGCCGCCGGCGGGAGGAGTAGGGCGTCCAGCGGGAGTCGTCACTGGGTGGCCGGGTCTGCCGGGGGTCTTGGTGGGCTCCTCGCAGTCCTCATCGCCGGGAAGACCAGCGGCAGTGGTAGGCACGGCGGGCAGAGAAGTGGGAGCTGCAACACCGCCGGTGTGGGTAGCAGTGTAAGCGACGCAAGAGCAGGCAGAGCTGAAAGCACTGTAGTCGGGGCAGTTGGAGTAGTCGGTGGGGATAGCCGCGTTGGCTGTAGTGGTACCGGCGAGCCAGTCTAAGCAAGCAGGAGTAGCCTGGGCGCTGAAGCGCTCATCGATCAGGTTGCGGTAGCAGTTGTTCTGCTCGCAGTCGGGAAAATGCGTGGCATTGGCCGCGCCAATGGCGATGGCGCCAACAACAAAGGCACCCTTCATGATTAACACAAAAACAAGAGAGCCTCTAAATTATGAACCTGAGGGTATAAACGAATGAACCACTCAGGAAAGAGGAAAAGAAAGTAATCCAGCAAAAGAATGTGTTGGGATAAGGAAGGAAAGAGGGTTCCAAATCCGGGGACTCTGGGACGGATGGCAGCCTTATATGTCTGCACGCTTCCAACCTTTCATTGTTTCCAATGGGAGGAGAAGCCTGGCCAAGCCAAGGAGTGCCCATAGTGCTAGGCCCGGAATACGAAAATAACCCTGCACGGGTGGCCCAGGTGGTGAAGCCGAAGACGCTGTGCTGCGTGCATGATTTGAGAGGAGGATCCAGGATCCATCTCCTTTGAGGTGCAGCCGCAGCCGCCGCCACCACCAGGGCGGTACATCAGCACAGATGCAATGGTACCGGTACCTGGCACGGCAGCGTCTGCATACTGTGGTGTGGTGCCCCGTTGGTACCTTGGTGGCGCGCAGAGACCCGGCTGTGGAACCGCTGCTTGTGGTGCCAAACTTGGATGACAGGGGAGGGAGAGGCCAAAAAGGCACCGCCAGCACTTGCGAGCACTCTCGAAGCGCAGAAGCGTGCTTCTCCACTCGACGTGCCCCTGACTAGGTCTTTAGCGCAGCAGCGTTTCCGCCAACGCAAGTGCAGGGAGGGCCTTGCCAGCGTCTCGCGGCCCATTGACGACCGGTTCTATCACGCTGGATGGGGGCTTGTCGACCAATCCTCTTCGCAGGTTGACCAATTCTCGGTCGTATCGACCAGGCGTCCTTCGCCGTCGCTTGCCCGTCCACTTGCTCTGCTTCTGCCCTCGTTGTTTGCTTCTTCGTTTCCTGCAATCTCGACCAATCTTTTCCAGGCTTTGGGCAAGTCTTTAGCCTGTCTCTGCCCCATGTTCCTCGCGGTGAGTCTTTGGAAACAGGCACTCCTCCATCGCAATCTCATCAGGACAAAACACCCCAGTTTAGTTGATACGGGGAAACGTGGTCAGTGTAGTATTTTGTCCATAGTACAGTGTGTACCTCTGCTCGTAAGGAGTATAGTAATACTCTGTGTTACTACCTAGTACCCCGTAGTATTAGTCGTAGCAGCAGTAGACTTCCTTGGAAATCGAGTAATACCGTTCTTGGGTGTATCAAAGGAGAACCTGCATTTTTCCTGTATTTTCTCCGAGCGTCCCACGTTCCACAATTTCGACGCCCCCTATGTGTAATTGCACGCCGATACAAGTTTCCATATTGGGCAGCAGTAACAATACGGAGTTGCAGTTTGCAAATTGCTATCAATAGCAACTACACGCTCGTATGCCTGCAGTATCGGGGTCCAGGTAACATGTCATATTGTACTCCATATCGCCTATTGCCGTCCAAGAGTCAACAGGCCACCGGAAATGACCAACGAGGTGGCAAGCCTGAATCTCTCTTCTTCTAGACTCATTCGCGAGATTCGGAGTCCCGCCATATCGGTGATCCGAAATTAGGAATCATGCAGAGCCTTGCTTCCTCACGGCTCGGCGGCAGACAGTCTTACATAATCCGGTTCACCAATGAATGCAGCTAGATTTGTGCTTTGCATGAGATCAATGCATACATGCGGACCGTATGATACAGTGCTGTACAGAACGCAGACTAGTACTTCGTAGACAGAGCAGAGATGGAAGACATGTCGATCGATAACGAGGATCTAAGCGCCCATGGTCTCAGCTGCTCAGCGAAGCGCCATTGCTGCGTGTCTTACTGAGAGCGTCATAGTTGAGCTCGCTGCCGTTCATTGCACTAGTGCCATTATCATTCGTCAATCTTCAGGTAGGGAGAATGATCATGTAGGGAGAATGACGATGTCTAACTTGGTAGCGTGAGTTAGCCGCGATGCTGTGATGTGGCGTCCGTGCTCCGCTCAAAACGGTCGTGACTTGAGCGTCTTGCTTGCGATGAGTAAAATGTGTACCCGGGAGTTGAAAGAGAAAACCACAAGCTGCGTTGCTGCCTCATCTCGCTGCCGCTTGCGTACCCGAATGTCACTGTATTCCGGTGAGAGTAGAGTAGCGGCAGTTGTTGTCGTCCACTCAGAAATGCAGCTGCGGCAAAGACACACCAAGCTCTCCATACTGCATACCTACCTCACCACCATCACCTGTTGTTGCTATTCTTGAGCACGGTCGTCTCCCCCCCACCACGTTCACTTCAATTCGGCTGGCGGATAATCGTGACGTTGCAAGCGCTCTCTCTGCCGCTGCTGTGTCCATACTCACACGAGTGCTAGGCTGTACCAATACGACACAGCTGAGATGTGAAAATGCGCGTAGCATCACCGGCAAACGCAGCGGATGGGGACAGGCAGGCCGCCAAGGCGCAAAGATTGCTCTCAGCGTGTGCCGCGCGAAATGGTTGGCTGAGATGCGTCCGTGAGCCGTGGCTGTTTGTGCGCTGGAGCCCGTCCGGCGTGCCTCTTTGGCCAGTCGGGCCGCCGTGGCCACTCAAATTGGCAGGGGCCGCAGCTGCTGATGGGCTGTGCTGATCTGTTTGGCATTGAGCAAGGGTGGGGGAGAACGAGTCGAGGAGGGATGATGCCGGCTGGAAGAGAAGACGATGACGCCTGTGGATGAGGATGAAGACGAAGATGGAAGAGCGAAGAACGAGCAGGCGCAGCTGGTGTCCAGTAGAGGTACTTTGTGCTGTCTCTGGATTCCTTAACAGCGCGAGACAGCGTCGCCAGTGAATGCCCTCAGGAGGCTGCAATGCAGTTACAGCGATTGGACACAGAGGGCTGCCTAGCGCTGGAATTCTGGCAGATCACAGCACCTAAAATAGAGCCCAATCTACCTCGCACAACCGCATCAAGCACAAAGGCACGAACCGCTCCTCTGTGATACTCTCTCATCTCCCTGCGGTTCCGAGCAGCGATCGCCCATCGCCTTTTCCCTCTCGGCACGATCGCTACGATCCAACCAATTCTTTTTCCCGCCTTCCAAGGCTTGGTCTTGCACTCACGGCTGCAAGTGGGACGCCGATCTCGAAATTTTCATGCCTGCCAAGTCGCACAATCCGCACCAAGACGGGGAGCGACTGGGCCTTGGGCTTGGCTTCACCAGATGCGAGTTGGTGGACCTCATGGATCTCTGGCATCATACATACAAGAGGTTTTGCCTTTGAGCCATTTAGGGATTTGTCCATCAGCTAGTTGAGGCTTGCCAAAACCTGTTATTCTTAGCAGTTGATGAAGTAGTCTTGCGTAGTTGAGCCCTCTCTTTTGCCTATTGTGTCATTTGATTATCAGCGTGTGCTCCCGAGGCAGCATAGCACTCCTAGGGCTTTTTTCCATTTCCAATTTGCATCCTCCCGTGTGGCCTGAATACGAGACCAAGCTCCATATTGCACTGCAGCCACCAAAGCCTTCATGCAGCTGTGCCATCCAGTAGCATCAGTTACAGCTGTGCCATCCTCTGCTGCTGTGTAGCCGAATAAGATGAGATACTGCAGCTTGTTGTTGCGCATGTGTGAGCAAGTGCCGGATGCCTCAATTTCCACCGCAGCCTTCGATCCATGCAGGGTAGTTCCCAGAAGCAGGAATCTCGGAGTTCGTAGCACCGAGCACAAAGACACGAGATCCACTGGCCAAGGCCCGCCATTCCGCATCCCGTATTCATCGACAGGAGAACAAGCTTAGTTGCATCCTAGGCTACCACCAGCTCGGCGGCCTCTGTGAGCGGGTCGCTGCTATGTGGAAAGCCGGAGACTCAATGTGTAATAATAGTAACAATACTTCGTATAGGCAGTGTGCTGGCCAAGTCTATCACAACTCGTACGAGCAGGAGTCCTGCCATTGCCTGCAGAAGATCAGCATATTGAAACCATCGTATTAAGCTTATCCAGCCCTGACACTGCTGTCAGGCATAAAAAAATACACTCTTGACGTGAATGACGGCTTATTTGGGAGTTATCTTGCCAAATCCCATCAACATCACTGCCCCATTCTAGCAATACGCCGTGTGTGAAAAATTACTGTAGCTCACATACTCGGCATTCTCGGGCAGCCACCTTCTCCAGTCATTATGCCCCATCTTCTGCCATACCCAACATCATGGTGATGCCTCTTTCTCGGAAGTGGCCCGACCGCCATGCCGTCCCTATGCGTAGGAAGGTGGCGAACGGGGCGATGACTTTGTTGTCAAAGTCTCCACAGTCAAATGATGCTACTACTGGTATCAGTTATCCCAATGAACTCAGCTATGTGTGTAAAGATAGGATCATCCTTCTTTCATGATGGTGCCCGTACAGTATGTAGAGTACAAGAGACAAAAAGGAGCTAAACACAAGTCCACTTGCAGCAAAATCTCTTGTTCAAGTTCAATGACGAACTGAGTTGCTCATTTCTCCTCATTCCCCATCTTTGGGTTGAATTTGTTGGCTCGGCGGTGAACACTGTCGCTAATGGATACTCGACCGATCTGTCGTTGGGACTAAACTCTGCCAACGCGATCCATCCCCATTTGCAGCTAACACGTCAGTTGAGAGACGATATTGTAATCACCTCCGTAATATATTCGGCCAATGGCATCTTCAGATACTCCAAGTTACCGTTTGGTTAGACTAGCAGTCCGCTAGATGCCCTGTGCCTCTTGGACAATTTGGTGATGGTGAGCACAGACGCTGGTTGATGCCTGAGTTAGATGTCGCATTCGCTCTTAGCCCAACTCGTTCTTATATGCAGTCATTACTCACGGGAATGCTGCAGTGATTGGATTCCAGAGCGAACAAAGGGGATCGGCATGAAAAACGTTGGTTCTCTTATATTAGTATCTTATGCTTAAAAAATTACGGTATCCCGTATGGATGATTGCAGAGTACTCATATCTATTGCTAGAAAGCAAGACTGGATACTTTGGTCCTTTTCCCATAGTACTGTATACACATTAATGTCCTTGGAATAAGGTTGGTTGGATGGCATCGAGTCGTCTCTCTTTGCCTTATGAGTAGAATATCGAGATTGAACTACCTAGAATGCTATACATATCAACCAGCATAGACAGAAGAGAGATGCACAGATGCAGAGAAATAGTAAACGAACTGAAATTAACGCAAAATGTTTTACATATCTGCTTGCCGACATTGCCACGGTCATATACTTCATCTACCATGCGTCGAGCATGAGATGCTTGAACTTAAACGAAACAGCGCGATTGACGATGGTATTCGAGGTCTAACTTCCGTAAAGAAAGAGAACTTCCAGACTTGAACGTGATCCAGATCTCATATCTTATCCTAACAGCCGTGCTCAAATTGGGCGGGAAATGGCCAACGGATAGCATCTCTGAAGTGGAGTGTTTCTTTTCTTTTTCTTCTCTTTTCTTGTTTTCCCTTTTCCTTGTCCATCTTTCGGAGGAATTCGGTAGCGATGGAAGCGCGATTGAACTGTGCAAATGCGAGCTCATCCTAGATTTGCAGAGTCCACTCGTTACCCAAATGAATATCTGTTGGGTCGCTGGATATAACGGCCTAACTTTTCGTTATTATTACGCTGGCAATTTTCTGGATAGTAGCCTTCAACTGATCGCTTGTTATATGGTCGAGCTTTAGATTGTCCATGACGCGGATTTCGAGACACTCCACCTCGACCGCCTCTGCCTTCTTAGCAAGATAAAAGTCTTTCATCTTATGTGCACCAACTGGAGACTCGTCGGTCGGAACATTCTTTGAGATGGCGATTCGTAGGGGAGGCTTTTTAAAACCGTGCGGCCAGTCTGGCTGCTTGGGCACTTCAAGGTGAAAGAGTGCAACCTCTGCAGGAATATTGCAAGGCGGATCCAAACGATAGCCCAAAAATGGCTCGCCATATTTGCTTCGCTTCAATGTCCGCACATTTACCCCCTGAGATTTGACCCATTTGGCAATACGTTTGACATGCGCATTGTCATTTTCGCCGCTGCGCGCTCGAAGTTGAGAGGCTACTTCTAGGGCGTCTACCCATCGCTGAGCATCTTCAGGCCCGGAGGGATGCTTTGCCTTTGCCTTATTCGACAGTTTATTGATATACGGCACTAAGCCCTTGGCAGCGGTTTCGACATAAAATTCCGAAATTAAGTGGACGACGTCTTCTGCGATTGCCTCTTTATCGCGGATACCACTCAGCTTAGTCTGAATTTCATCTGCAGCATTTTGTACCTTGTGTTCCGCCGCTTTAATAACACGTTGAACCTCTACCGCAATCTTTCGGATGTGAAGGGGAGTTTGAGGCTGCTTCGGTATCTTGAAATAACCCTGAGCAACTGAGAGATCAACCTCGACCAAGGTCCCAATATCGGGCATAGCGTTTTGCACGGTTTCCATGTCGACAGCCATCAAGTAAGCTGTAGGAAGCCCTGTAGCGCCTGTGCCATATTCCTCTTTGTCGTTCTCTTTTGCAATCCATTCCGAGTCAGGGAGCGGAATCAGAAGGGATCGAAATGGATTGTTTGATGTATTGTCTGCTTGATATTCCCCTACGACTCTGCCATAGGGACTTTCTTTGTGTCCATCGCCGAAGAATAGTCGCCAATCGCGTCTCCATTCTTGATAGAGAGGGAATGTGATCCAAAATCTTTTCGGGCTCTCTGGGTTCGTAGACGAGAGCAAAGATTTGATGCGGTTAGCGACGGTTCGCGTGGCCATTGATTGGCGGTGGATTTGCCTCCAAAACGATGATGGATAATCCACGACAACTTGGCCAGCTTTTGTTTCAGCGTAGATCCAAATTATCTCGTCGCCTTGAGGGCAAACGAAAGTGCTAGAGCACGAAGAGGCACTATCATGTTGAGGATCAGGCAACCCCAATCTCATGAGATCGAAATCCAAGCCATTTGTAGGATCCAGGACCGTAGTTGAGCTAATATATGTGGATGGTAGGGTAAAAAAGGCTTTCATTGCAGTCGTTTCTCTTACGTGAAGATGATGGGCAAACAGCGGGGTTCCGTTTTCGCTGAATGGCACAGCGATATTCGCCAAACGATGCCATGTCTCGCCGCATTTGATTTGCAGTCTCATGAGAAGCAAAGGCACGGCGAGAGTTCCAGGCCGAGCTAGAATATCGACTCGAAGTCCAGGAGAGTCTTCTGTTGCCATAGAGCGGATGTGATCAAGATCAAAGCCCGGTAAAAGATCGCCGTCAACATGAAGTATAACTTGAAGCCAATCAGAATCAGCTTGAGAATGGCTTGGCTCATTGTTGCCACTATGCTGGAATTCTTCATTAGCAGCCGCTTTTTCAGCGGGGAGAGAATCGTATTCCATGGCTGCGATGGAAATAGCGATCAATAAATTGTGGTATCTCGCGCGAGAGAGCAGTGACAGTCGACAGATCTTCCCATACAGAGAGATAAGATAGAAGAAGAAGAGGCTCTGCAGTTTAAGGTGCTTCTGGTGCAAACAAATTTGTGCGTGGTTGTCACCTGATTTCAGTGATTGAGGTAGGAAGGAGCACTGCGTGCTCTGACAGCCCGAAGGTGGCAGCCAGCTGGCGACCAGAAGACGTCAGTGGATTGACTTGATGAAGCTAGATAGCTTTAATTAGGTAGATAACTCTTGGTTATTAGATATTGTTCAAACCAAATCTGCGAAAAACGGCTATAGATGTATCGGGAAAGCCCCAGGCTGCTATTTCGGCAAGTTAAAAGTCGTGTTTGTATAAAAATGAGAGAAGCAAGCTGAAAGTTTGGATCAGACCTATCTAGCTCTATATAATGGACTCTGAGCCTGCATATGGTGTTGAATGGACAAAAGCTCGGGCTATCGTGCCACAGCATCTACAAAAATTACCGCGTCTATCATATCCTTTATGGAACCACTTTCTTCAGGATATCGAGTGCATATGGAACCCTTATGTACGGCGGTCTTATGGCTCGGTGAGAGCGATGTCGCGGATCGCATGCTCATAGGGCTCGCCACATCTGACTTTTTAATTATCATTGAGTCAGTGGACTAATTGGGACGGGTATATTGAGAGAAAATGGGGTTAATCCAAATTGGTTGTTAAGTTGATACGTCTATAGATGGAATAGTCTAGCATGGTGGATCATGATGTCGTGCATCGGCATAGTGGCATCGATGACATCTTAGTACCAGGAGCTGATTGCTTGCTCTGACTTACAATTAGATCTATTCCAAGAGTTATATGAGACCTTCTAGCTATGGAACCGTAGTATGAGGCGGGTTGAGAGGTTAATGGACGAAGTAGTGAGGAGTCAAGTAGTGATTCCAAAAGATTCCAAAATCGAAAGATAACAAAATGGATTCAGGGCATATACAATGACGTCGGCACATGTCCAAGTCGCCGGGCTGTCAATAGCCTACCGGCAGATTTTGGTGTAAGAGCCTAAAACTGCCCATTGTAGATGGCATTAACAGATATGTATCAGAAGCACAGAAGATTGTCCAAGGAAACATGCAATGTAACCAGAAAACTCCAGTCTATTAGATAACGCAAGAAGATTGACTATTATACAACCCTTAGCGGGGATGCCGGTGGTCTGCCGTTTCTATACTCTACTCTAGGCAATCAAGAGATGTATACCAGCGCCTTGTGTCTAAGGCCCTCTTCATCAACCCGATGAAACAATCGAACAAGAAACCAAATCTCTCAAAGGTCTCGGCCGAAATGGAAACTGTTCCCTTTCTATGTGTAACAGGAAAAACTCCCAGCAACCCAAGCAAAGCCCAGCTCTTCTGGGCAATACCGTATATAGCTGCCCCCTCTTCGAAATCTCGGTCCATTTTCACTCGCCCTCCCAAAACCCCATTTTGTTGTCATCAAATCATAAAATATTAAATTTATTTGGCAATCTCAACACCGCCAACGGCGCCAAGAGCCTTCTTCAGGTCACCGTAGATGGCAAACTGACCAGCGGTCAGGGTTCCGACCATAAACAGACGGGCACCAATACCGGTGTAGGAGCCACGGAGGCCGAGCTCCTTGCCGATCTTGATCAGACGGGAGGTGGTGCCCTCACCGGGAAGGCCCTTGGTCTTGTTGATCTTGGAAAGCATGGTGTCGGCAGGCTGGGAAACGATGGCAGCAGCGAAACCAGCAATGAGACCAGAGCCCAGGTTGGCAGTGGTCTGCATGCCGCCGGACATGTCCTCCTTGGGGAAGGCACGGAAGACGGCCTCAGAGACCTTCTCGAAAACGACGAACTTGGCCATGGTGTAAGGGATCCTGGGGTAAATGTGTAAGCGCAATTCTGACATCAAGAGCTCGGCTTGGCTTAAAAACTTACTGCTTGAACAGGATGGGTCCAAAACCGGCGTAGAAAGCACCGATACCCTCGTTCTTCAGCATCTTGGAGAAACCACCAACAAGGCCGTTGGCATAGGTGGGCTCGGAGACAAGACGGATACGGGTAGCCTCAAGAGGGCAGAGGGCAATGTCGGCGAAGAACTCGGCGGCGGCAGAGGAGGCCAGGTAAATGGCAGTGCGGTTGTTGGAGGCAGTCTCAAGGCCGAGCTGGTTGATGAACTGGGCCTTGAAGAACTCGTAACCACCGAATTTGAAAGCACCCTGCAGGAAGTAACCGGCAAAGGTAGGACCAGCACCGGTCAGGAGAGCGCCAGCACCCTCATTCTGAATAACCTGGCGGAAACCACCGATGAGACCGCGGTTGTAGGTAGCGGGGTCGAGCTGGATACGGGTCTTGACGCTGTATTGTAGAAAAGAAAACGTGTCAGTCAGCCATGAACAGTCTGTTTTCACATGTAAGAGAATGGCGGTAACGAAGCCATCGCCGCCAACCAGCCAAGGGCCAGAGCGAAGTCGTGCTTCCACCATCCACCATCCACCATCCACCATCCACCATCCACCATCCACCATCCACAAAGAACAACTCGGGAGGGATCAAACATACACATCGACGGGAGTCAGACCACCGTGGGTGACGGAGCAGCAGACGGCACCAGCGAGGGCGAAACGAGAGTAGAGAGAGAATCCCTCGAGCTTCTTGGGCTCGGAGACCTGAACTTGAGCAGCAGCCATTGTGACGAAGGGAATCGAAGCAGCGAACAAACACTGAGTGGGGAGAAAAAGAGAAAGTCTAGGGAGGGTCGAGAGATCCGACGTGGAGAGATTTGAGGTTTTGTCTGGGGAGCGGTGGTGAGAAGCGGCGGCTTTTGACTGAGGTCTTTTTTCGCTGTTGTTCCCTTCCTGCCGGGCGCTAGTCTAGGGGCAAGAAAAAAAAATTGATGCCAGGGTGGGCTCGGGAACATTCGGGTAATTCGATTGGACGGATCAAAGGGCGGGCACGGGCCATGATGAAGTGGCTGCTTCAGCCACAGGTCCCAGGCGGTGTCGAAATCGGCCTTTCCGAGAGACCGAGATACACAAGCATCATGATGAGGCTGATGAGACTGATGAGGCTGATGAGAGTTTTCAGTTTTTCTCATCAAAAAAAAAAAAAATGATCAGGCTGTCCTGTGCGCCGCTGAGTCTATGCTCATCTCACCTGTCCGGCATCTTGCAGTGTCTACAAACTCTCTGGTGAGAATCCTCGACCAGCCATCTTTCTGGCAAATTCCTCTTGTTGCGCCATTTGCCATCTACAGTTGATAGATATCTCCCTGTGGCTGGTGTCGGTGTCGCCCGAGGCTCTCGGAGCCATTCATCTTCCTAGCCTTGCCAACGTGGGGGCTTTGATCGGCCCCGCTTATCGCAGCCTGAGGGCATCAAGCATAGATGTGCAGATAGCCGATTTCGATGCATTTAGTAGTGAAGTGTGTTGCAGACCAAGTAAAAGCGCCTAGTTCGGCCACACCGGGTTTGGCCAGTAGGCCATGGTCGGAAAGCCAAAAGATGTAGTTCAAATGTATTATTTTTTCTGTACATGATGTCGCCTTTTTGTGGTCCAAATTGCCATTTACAGGGCAACCCTTACAGTATATTTCATCTTGTCTAGGTACATATGTACCTACCTACCTACACAATAGCTGAGACAGACGTTATACGCCCAAAGCTCTACCTGACGTTCGGGCATTCTCGCGAATGACGTTACAGTCATTTTTATTGTTTAGTTACATATTAGCTGAGAGAGAAGACATAATTCCCCGGATCGCTTTTTTCCCGACGTGTGGAGAAGCGAGTGGCATTTGTATTTCCCCATACATATCAACTGGTAAATGGCTTTATGTCACTAGGTCGGAAAGTTCCTGGCTATTCACTTTCCAATTAGACTCACAGATATTTTTTTCCAACCCTACGTCGAGTTAGATTTAGGCATAAAATTAATTGAAATAAATATTTTTTTATACAAATCATTGCCAATTACTATTTTTATCGCTTCTTCATAATTCAATCTCTATTTAGCACGTCGCCTGCCGGATGACTTCCCGGCTACCCTACTGCATATTACGCCACACTGTTTTTAGGTTTCTTCGTTTGTACTATCACCCGACCCGAGTCATCAATCCAACGCGCCTCATTGGCTGTTGCACGTATGACGCAGAGTCACGTGGCCTCAATCGGTCCCTTGCCGAGTCGCAGACCAATCAATGCCCTGCCAATTGGGAGACAATTGGATATCTCTTGCTCTGCTCGACGCTGGGCTCGAAATATATAGATTGTGATCCAATCAGTGTCTGCTAAGTAGCCGTAATAGATATAGCATTGTAAAATGAGGAAGCCAAATAGATTTACCGCTCCCAAGATGATATATCGCGGCCTTTGTCGGAAAGCCCCGGCCCAAAGCGATTATCAAACGGTTTGCTAAGACTTTGCTCCTTATCAGCACCGGCGTTGGGTCGATCATGCTTTCCATCAACCACGCGGCTGGCCAATGAGCTGGAAGTGAAATCAATTGGATTTATGGTGCGCTCATCGACACCTTGATTCATTCCTTTCATGCTCCTTTATCGGCGCCAACTTCACAATGTACCGCCGTGCACCGACAAGGCAGCTTAGGCTGTCGGGAAGTGCTGCCTTACGGGCGTCATGGGCTTCATCACGCGTATCTACACGGCAACTCGGTGCGGCTGCCAATCATATGAGCCACATCTCTAAACATATCTCAACACCATTCGCATCAAAGTATCGAGGCTTCAGCAGCACGGCTTCAGTGCGGAACAACTTCGATGATGACCAGGGAACCTACAGCGAGTCTGATCATGAACATGCCGTCATCTCGACCTTTGATCTCTTCTCCATTGGCATTGGCCCTTCATCGTCCCACACCGTTGGGCCAATGAGAGCGGGCAATATCTTCGTCGCAGACCTCTTGGCGGCCGGCTTGCTCCCCAAAGTCGATAGAATACGCGTGGCCCTCTATGGCAGTCTTGCACTCACAGGCGAGGGCCACATGACGCCATCTGCTCTTCTGCTTGGTCTTGAAAGTGCCGACATTGAGACTGTCGATACGGCCTACGTGCCTGAACGCTTTGAGCAGATAAAAAAGGACAAGAAGCTCTTCCTGGGACACCAACTTCCAGATGGCAAGGGCAAGGAAATCACATTTGACTTTGACCGGGACTTCAAATGGGAGTGGGGCAAGAAGCTGCCGCTGCACAGCAACGGTATGCGCCTCATGGTGTTTGACAAGGAGGGATACATGTTGGCAACCAACGACTTATTCAGCGTGGGTGGCGGATTTGTTGTCAACGGCGCCATGTCAATCAATAAAGCTGATTCGGATTCGTCATCTGCTACAGACGCCGGCTTGGGATTATCAACAGAAGCCCAGGGCGCGCATCCATCTGATCTCGCAGAGAATATGTATTACAAGGAGATTCGGCGTGAAGATGCAGCAGGAGATCGACGCACCGGACAAGAGATCAAGCCAGTTGGAGACGCTGCCGGTCTGCTTACATCTGGTGCTGATGGCGGAGATGCTCCTCCCCCAGCGAAATCCTCGACCGACGACGCTTCTTCATCTGGTGGCGCGCATGGTCATCAGCCTCGATACCCGTTTAGAGACGCAAAGAGCTTGTTGGCCCTGTGTGACAAGCACAACCTGACTATTGCACAAGTCGTGTATGAGAACGAGAAAAGTCACGGTTACACGGACGATCAAATCCGGGACAAGCTGTTCCGAATCTGGGAGGTAATGGACAACAGCATCTTGGAAGGAGTCCAAGCAGCCCCAGACTCAGTACTACCAGGCAGTCTCAAGCTGCATAGGCGAGCACCGGCGTTATATAGACGACTCACAAGGGGTCTATATCCTTCCTATACTACATCGGCGGGCAATGCAGCAGAGCCCGCTCAGGCCCAGTTACCGCTTGACAACAAGGAACCGCCGTCGGGTTCACAAACGCCAGGATCCTTAACTACGGCGCCGACCTCATCATCTTCTTCAGCTGGCCGCAAGGACATGGCTATCAGGAGAGCAGCAGCTCTACGCACCCACGGCTCCTTTTCTCACCCAGTACTACCATCACCCCGACGACGCACGACATTCCCAGCCAGTAAGTAAATTTGGTTCCATGATTAATTTGAATCAAGAACAAGAGCTAACTCGAACCTCTGCAGTGGATTATCTTACGGTGTATGCCATGGCTGTCAATGAGACTAATGCAGCAGGCGGCCGCATTGTCACAGCCCCAACAAACGGCGCAGCTGGTATCATCCCTGCAGTGCTCAAGTATACCGTCGAATTCGTCAGCGATGACCCCGAGCGCGACATCTTGTCCTTCCTCTTAACAGCAGCTGCGATTGGTATGCTGTACAAGCGCGGTGCTACCATCTCAGCTGCCGAGGGTGGCTGTATGGCCGAAGTAGGCGTTGCCTGCTCCATGGCAGCCGGAGCATTCGCAGCATGCATGGGCGCCAGTCCTCAAACCATTGAGCAGGCTGCCGAGATTGGAATCGAGCACAATCTAGGCTTGACATGCGACCCCATTGGCGGATTGGTGCAAGCCCCATGCATCGAGCGTAATGCCTTGGGTGCCATCAAGGCCATCTCGAGCGCCAACTTGGCTCTGAGCGGCGAGACGGGCACGCAAAAGGTCAGCCTTGATGATGCCATTCGGGCCATGCGCGTTACTGCGCAGGGCATGAGGAACGAGTTTAAAGAGACGAGCTTGAGCGGATTGGCTACAAGCGTGCCGCTTCATATTCCTGTCAGCGTGCCAGACTGCTAAGTTCAATGGATGTTTTATACTTTATAGCGCAATAAATTAGAGAGAGGCCAGGCCAATAGCTACTATCACCTACGGCTGAGGTGTTGTGTAACAATTGTGATACATTCAGCAAATTCCCATCTTTATATGTGGTGTGCATTGTCGGCATATCCCAGTCCAACGAGACCAGAGCCTTGTCCCGTTTCTCAGAGTAGCATACTGTTGTCTCCAGATTTGCAAGGGAAGCTACTAGTACCAGACTTTGTTTCAGGTGGGTAGATGGCTAAGGTAGGTAGAGATAAGGCTTGTGGTACGTAAACTTAGATACGGCCATCGTAAAGGTACTTGGAATGCCGCAATTCTAATAATCGCAGCTGAAGCAATGAATGCTGCAGCTTCACAGGCACCGAACACTGCACAGCCACTGCACAGCGGCCGCGACAACTGGCCAACAAACCCAACAGCAGCCCATTCATTCTGCTGCTCCTCATTTCGAGCCTATTGGATCCCAGCTGGTAGGCCTCCCGCAGAATCTGATGATGTTTTAGGCGCCAAGTGACGTACACAAGGCAGCAGGCGCTTAGTGAGGGGCTCTTTATCGACGCGAGGCTCTCTCTTTTTATTTACCTGGTTGCCGCCTTTTAGCTTTAAACATTCGATTCACTTCTTCTACACTCCTATCCTTTTTTGACATCTTTACTCAAAATGGCAGAGCCTGTCCTCAATGCCGCGAGCTCTGGCCTGAGCCCACAAATGCTAGAATATATATTTCATCATGTATTCTTACCCCCTCAGTTGCCGGACGGAGACGATGCATCTCCTGCAAACGAACTACGACTCATCGAGCTGGTCAGAGAATGCTTGATCGAGTTTCTACCAGAGGCTGATCCGAGCTACCATGAAGCTATCAAGAGTGCGGCGGCTCTGATGAAAAACACACATATTGCAACGAGTTACGATGGATATCTGCAGGAAGATGGCGTGAGAGCCGTGCTGAAACAGATAGGACCTCATAGTACGCTCTTGTGCGCTCTGTATCTACGCTTTACATATCGCTGACCCAATTCTTCAACAGATTCCTCAAAGTCTTTTGCGTCATTCTACATTACAGCTCAGAATGCGGGCGTCATGCTTCGCTTGGCCAACGACTCTGTCATATTCGAGATGTTCGAGCTCTGTCCAACTAGCGGATCTGTTTACTCAAACGCAGGACGCCTAATTCGTCAATTCCCTGCTGTTGCGGTGGGCATTCCTGTCCACATATTCGCACAGGGAGATTTCCAAGATGTCTTGGCCAAGACGCTCGTCAAGATGAGCTACCAAGCAGTCAACGAAGCACTACCGAAAGCTAGGAAAGCCAACCAATATCACACTGAGGAGCGAGATACAATCGACCCAAAGATAGTTACGGAGCTGTTGTATGGCTTCCTGCGGGGCGTGGGCAACGAGGTCGACACGACTGGAATCACGAAAAATACGCGAGAAGAAGTGTTGTGGAAGCAAAGTAAGCTTCCGTGGAGGCGATCTGCCGTATGGCTTCTAATTCGACTGTCTCTTCAGCTCACGCTGGATCGTGCTACTGTCGGTTCTGGGGAGCTTTACAAATCCTTCATCATTTTCTTCTTGTCTCGTATACTCAGTGCTGCGAATGACAATATGATGGGTAGCGAAATCCTTACGACAATGTCAACCAAGATTTCCCGGCGCCTTTTGAAGTTGCGGCAGCCCGTAGATGGGAGATGGTTGACGGATGTGCACAAAGTGGTGTCCATTGCGACAAAATTTGTCGATATCCTATGGCAACAAATCTGCAATGAGGCTAAATCACAATTTGACCTTACAAGACTACAGTCGCTTAACTTGGCTGGCGATACACGCATATCCATTCCAGGATTGACAGACTTTATCTCGTCTATCTCGGAACGTCGAAATGTAAGCCAATCATCATCTTTCTGTCCGAAATCAGGTATTACGGCTTTTGTACCCGAAAACCTTCCTAGTATCCCGAACCAGATTGGTGAAAACGATCTTCCATATCATCTTGCCATGGTAGAATCCTGGGTGGCCACACACCTCGATGATTGGATCAATAAACACATTGAAGACGAGTCGGCCTGTATAGTTTTGTTCAATTTGATGCGAAAGTACCATGTCGCGGGTAGGAACTGGTATTCAAGCCGTCCGGAAGGAGCATCAAGAATGATTCTTGTTATTTTGGAGCTTTGGGTTGCCGCAGATAGAGCCGCAACCCGCGAGTTTCCGCTACTTAATAACTATCAACATGAGATTCCTATCGAAGTGTTTCAATCTCTACTGATTGGGTCCAGAAAAGGTATGCAAAGGCTTCATATAGTCGAGACATATCTCACAAGGCGGCGAGATCTTGCGCGACCAAAGAAGAGAGCGTCGGTTTTTACCTCTTACGGCCAGAGAAAATCTTTCCCAGTTGAATATTTTTCCCAATCGCTAGCCCATCAAAATCTTCTTCAAAGGATTGAGGCGCGAGCTTCCCTTGACAAGCAAGCAAAATTGGAAGAATTCAGATTGCGCCGCGCGCAATACGACTCCCTTATGCAGCGATATGGGCAAGAGGTTTGTCAGAACGTCAGCTGGGAAGAAGATGGCGTATGGCATACTGAGCACGCTTCCGACTGCAAACGTTGCGCATTGCGTAGCACCGCGACCAAGATGTCGATAAATATCTACGAGTGGCCTCTTTCGAGCTCTTCACCTGAAGCTCAGGCCACAGTCTTTGAACTGGCCCTCCCCAGCAGCTTTGGCGCGTGGCGGGATGGAACCCTTTATCTGATTGATGATGTTCTTCAAAGTACGCGCTCTCAAGACGAAAAATTACATTCAGAATATCCATTGAGATCATATGCTGGCCTCAGTGGATTCTTTCAGTCTGATACCAAGTGGCGTATCCACCTTTTGTCTGAGTCGAAGCCCCATGTGGTTACTCACCGACGAAATATCAAGATTGGCCATAGCACTGAATCCGATGTTTGTGTGAACAACGGACTTCAGCTGCGGTACTTCGATAATAATAGGGGAACCTTTGTTAAGGCATTTACCGCTTCCATTTGGTTGTCTACACTCTGTACCTTCAAGCTGGGCTCTGATTTGAACCAACTGAAGCATTTTCTCGTTCGAACCCACAACGAGCCAAATGGCGAGGCTCCAAATACAGTTATTGCGAGTCAGGCCTTTTGTCCTGAGAATATGTCTCTTGGCGAGTACAAAGCTTTAGCTACGCTACCATTTGGATATCGTATACAGTGGATGAGTATTCTCACCCAACTCGCGATGCCTGATGTGGATTTCAATAAAACTGAGACTGCAATATTTCTCTTACAGCTCAGTCTTCAGGCAGGGCCAAACGAGCAGAATGCAATAGAGAGATGTGCACATGCGCGACTAACGGACGCAGAATTTGGTCGCGCAATGCTTGATCAGCTTCAAGAATGTGTTTCTCGTATTAAAGAGAATTGGGAATCTCACACTGCCATGTGGATTTTTATTTTTATTGCAGCTCGCCTCCTATCAATGACTACTACACCTGCCTTGCGCCTGAGCATTTTCAACCTCTTGAAGGAGTGTAGAGAGATATCTTACCACTGGTTGGCGAGGTTACACTCAAGGGCGTATGCCTCGCGTAACGAAGAAGAGAGGGTACAGTTTTCACAGATTGCGCTTCGAGTGTCTCTAGTATGTGCAGACACATTTAACGTGGGCGGTAAACTCTTAGCTCATATACTATCTGATCCTCGCCAGGCGGCCATCTTAATCGAAACTTCCATCAATATTAACAACAATACTTCATTAATGGAGAAAGATCAAGATGAGCTTAAGAGGATCATGTATGATAGATGGATTTTTACGATGCATCGTTCTCGGCCCATGTTGTTGGATGAGATCCTTCACGGCGGAACTCCCTGTCTTGATATAGCCATCAAGCGATGCTGGCCTGACTTCAATCGGATGGGCGAATGGGACTTGGTTGATTCCACTTGCAGCTGGCTCGAGGCCGTATCTGGTCAACTAAAGATATGTGTCAATATTTTAACCGGAGAATTATTGGTAAACGGGGACCCGCTATCTCGCTTGCCTCGCAAATACGAAGTTCATCCAGACTATCGAAAGTTATTTGAGGCTTTTATACTAGATGTCATGCCCAGTTCTTCACCTGGAATGAAGTTTTGCAGTTCCAAAGATGTCGAAGGTTATGCTGCTCATTTCAGTATGGACGATGAATCATCATCCTCTCAAGAAGATCTGATGGTACGTCTGGATGGCCAAAATCCGGTATTGGATCTCATCCCCTCTCGATTATTTACCTCGTGGCTACCAAACTCTTTCATCGATGATTATACCCATTGGTACAATCAAACCACAAAGTGTATTGAATTTCGACCGATAGGCGACCCATGGAAGTCATTTGCACAAGGATGGACTCTGAGACAACATAAGAAGCGCTGGAAGCTCACGCGAGCTGGAAACATATCGCTTCTTTCACCCGGGAGCTCTTCTGCCAGTTATATAGCATCCATCTTGTCGCCACTCGACACTGATTTGCATTTGCATATGCTCTTTGATGTGAAGATGGGCAACCTCGAGATTAGGGTGACACGGCTGCAGCTTGAATTCACACTGAATAAGGGAGAATCAGCCATCATATCTCGGCAATTTCGAGGGATGCAAATTGATCCTGACCAATATGTTGGCACGCTAATTGGATTTAATAGTAAGCTTGTGATGAAAGACAGTCACAGCTCAGAAAACAGGATCATGATCATCCCCGAAGGAAACATCAATTTTCAAGCAAATGCAGAGGGCCACATATCCGTGGACGTGGCGTATGGTACCGCTAATCGCGTTCAGAGGTACTTGATTGACAGTCAACTTCGTCACCTGGTCGGCAATGCCACAGCTCAGAGCAAGCTATATATAGCTTACATACACGCACTCACGTCTTACTGCATTTCAGATCCTTTTTTGGGTAGGACCGGGACGGAAGAGAGCCTCTCAATTCTGGAGTCTGCGTCAATACGATCAATCGACTACTTAACCCCTGATAACGTGCAGTTATTACAAGTTATCGCCAATCTCTCTCCTCATCGGGACTATTATCCAAAACATCTCAAGCATATGCAAAAAGTGCAATGGTCGCCTGTATTGTCTTTTATGGCTCAAGACTCGCGTTTTTATAAGTCTGTGGGCAGTATCCTCGATAGAGTTTCGGACATGGGCTTCTTATATCCGTCTGATGAGACTTTTACGGTAGAACTCGCTCATAACGAAATGGAGCTCATCAACCGAGAGATTTTTCGAAACTCGCGCTACCAAGTGTCTGGATTTGGCGCTGAAGACTTCAAAACGACTCGTGATATTGTATACGCACCTAGGGACCGAGGCCAATCGTCGGGTAAGACCGCCGATGTAATCGAAACTACATTTCGCATTTATAATAACATCAAAACCGTTGCGCAACGGACCGAAAAGGGAACTTTAGACACTTTGTACGGACTCCTTTCTGGAGCCAGAGAAACTATCGCTTCCAAGAGTATACCTAGTAGGCAAGAGATTCAGTATGGCGCGGAGTGGCTCGGTGACCCAAAGATGTTCCTGCCTACCTACTGGTGCCGATTGCACTTTGCTTTCCAGACAAACCCATCCTGGATTAACAGATTCCAGACCATGATCTGGCTCGCGACCTTGTCCTACTCCTCCCAATGCCAGTTGATGGTTCTTCAGGCTTTGATGATGATGACTCAATCGACTCGATTAGCAGCCGTATCTTTACCCGAGGGTTCAGAATTCAAGTTAAATGAAGGTTATCAAGTTGATATACATCAACTTAGAAATCTTGTGGAAGGTGCGACTAGAGAATTCGGCCCTACCTCTCCCGAAATGAAACTACCCCCGCACGGCATTGAAACTTCGAAGAAGACACGGAAGCGGCGAAAGAGCGAGTTCAATAAAGCAAAGGGGAACAAGGTTACGTCTTTTGCCAACAAACTTGCTGCACAATGGCCGAATGACAAGCTTTTCAGGCCTCATGAGCATGGGTCTGAACCTTACATAGATGCCTCAAGTGCATTGGCGCTCGCCGAGGGAAAATGGCGGATCTGGCTTGCCAACTCACGATTCAGAGAGTATCTCCAAAGGTTTATACACGCTTTTAATGTCATACAAGTGGGGAATGTATCTGTTCCTCGGACATCCTATCCTACATACCAAGCTTCCGCTACTCGGCCTCGCGGATACATATCTACTGATGAAGTGTTTCGCAACATGCCACCAGTCATCAGCAACGCGCCACTCCTCAATGTCAAAGCTTTGCAACGAATAGCGGACACTGAAGAGGATGCGAATACTAAGCTAGTTGGCCTCCTTGATCACTTGGATTCGCAAGTCCAATTGGACTATGAGCGTCGATATCTTTCTGAGCTACGAAAAAGTCTACTCGATCTTCGAGGCCTTACTAAGATGCAGTTTGAAAAGAACGATATCTCAATGCGCAGTAAGATCTTTGAGCTCTATCTGCAACAATGCAAGTCGTTCGCCCAGGAATGTTATGACGGGTTGGTAAAAGCCGTTCTACCGGAATCGGCTTGCTCTCTAGGCCCAGCTGATCGCAGTATAAACATACGGTCAACGATCTCAGCAGCTGGGTTCTATCCTAGGGTTTGCCCTATCTTCTTCTTACAGCAGCTCACAAGGTATCGCTGGCCGTCTCTCACAGATGCATGGAAGAAGGCTATTACTACGTACGCAATTGCAATAACCAGCCTTCAACAAGCTCAGCGACTGGTAAATCTACAGGATAACGAAATCGATCTCCTCCAAGAACTTGAGAATACCTGCAGTAGGAAATGGGATCCACTTCAACACCCAGAATGGTTGCTTTTGGAATGTGAGAGCGGAATTATCATCCGGCATGTACAACATCAAATTGCTGAACAGATGATTTCGCCCCGGGACAACGAAAACGCTGTGATGCAGCTCAACATGGGAGAAGGAAAGTCCTCCGTCATTGTGCCAATTGCGGCTACCGCACTTAGCGATGGGTCACAAATCGTACGTGTTATCGTTGCTAAACCACAGGCGAAGCAAATGCATCAGATGTTAATGGCGAAGCTATCTGGTCTGTTGGATCGCGCAATATTCCAATTGCCATTCTCACGAGCAGTGCATATGGACGTAAACAAGGCGAAATTTGTACACAAATTGGCGCACCGATGCATGAACGAAGGCGGTATTTTATTGATCCAACCAGAGCATCTCCTCTCATTTCAGTTGATGGGGCTCGAATGCGCAATCAATGGATTTGGTGGAGTTGCTCGTCCTCTTTTGGAAACTCAGCGTCTTTTCAATACATCATCTAGAGACATAGTTGATGAAAGCGATGAGAACTTCAGCGTCAAGTTTGAGCTTATCTATACCATGGGGAAACAGAAGCCCATTGAACATACTCCTGAACGCTGGGTGGTGATTCAGAATATACTCGCCAGATTTGCTCGAATCTGTTTGCAGTTGAAATCCTCTTTTCCAGAATCCCTTGACGTCGATGACCGATATCCTGAGAGATTCCCTAGAATCCGAATTCTGCGCCCCGATGCTGAATCGACTATTCTGACTCGCCTTGCCGAGTTCATCTGCAACACAGGCATGTCTGGGTTTCCAATCGCACGACAACGGACACAGATACGAAACGCGGTTAAACGCTACATCAGCAATACTGAACTGACAAATAAGGAGATTAATGCTGTTGAGCAAAGCGCATTTTGGGGTGAGACGACTGCCGACAATATTCTGCTACTTCGGGGTCTATTGTCAGGGGGCATACTCTCCTTTGTGTTTGGACAGAAGCGCTGGAGAGTAGACTACGGTACGCATCCTAATCGTGAGACGAAAACTAGATTGGCCGTGCCGTTCAGGGCAAAGGATAATCCCACGCCTCGGTCAGAATTTAGCCATCCAGATGTTGTCATTGCACTCACTTGTCTGAGCTACTACTATAAAGGCCTCCAAGATGACGAGCTTTTCGAGGCATTGGAGCTTCTCATAAGATCAGACAACCCTGATCTCGAATATCGGGCTTGGGTAGAAACTGCTCCAGAATTGCCTCTTTGCTTTAGACATCTAACGGGTATCAACATTCGAGATCGCACGCAGTGTGTTAGTGATGTTTTCCCTCACCTCCGCTACGCCAAGGGAAGCATTGACTATTTCCTTTCGCGGATGGTGTTTGCGAAGGAGTCGAGAGAATTTCCGCATAAGCTTTCTGCCTCAGGGTGGGATCTTGGCAAGAGAAAAACAAATCCCACAACTGGATTCAGCGGCACCAATGATTCCAGATACATACTGCCGATGGATATCAAGCAGTTGGATCTACCAGAGCAGAGCCATACTAATGCGTTGGTGTTGAAACATCTTCTTCGTTCTGAAAACGGTATCATGTTGATGCCGAAAGAGACGAAAGAAGTTAATTTGGAGAGTGAATCACTTCTTGAGATGGTATCGCAGATGAACTCAAAGACTAGAGTCGTTCTTGACGTGGGAGCACAGATTATTGATCTTGACAATTTTCAGTTTGCCAAGACATGGCTCAAGCGCTATCAAGATGATGACAGCGTCCAGGCTGTCGTCTTCTTCAATGAAACAGATGAGTTGATGGTGCTTGATAGAGTAGGCAAAGTTGAGCCTCTGCAGATATCGCCATTTGCTACTCAATTAGATCAATGCCTCGTCTTCCTTGATGAGGCACACACGAGAGGTACAGATCTACGGTTGCCTACAAACTATCAAGCAGCAGTGACTCTCGGCGTGAATTTGACAAAAGACAAGCTTGTACAAGGTAAGAATTGCCTACTAAAACTAATGAGTGTATTTGTTGCTTATCTGTGTAATAGCATGCATGCGGATGAGGAAACTTGGAAGAGGACAGTCTGTCGTGTTTTGCATTCCAAAAGATATTGAACAAAAGATCCGAGTACAAAAAGATATCAACTCTTCTACTACGGAGGGAATCTCAGTCTCTGATGTTTTATGCTGGGCAATATTTGAGACCTGGCACGACCTTCGACGAATGGTTCCTTTATGGCTGACGCAGGGCGTACGATACTACGAACAAGAAGCTTTCTGGAGCGAGGAGGAACAACATTTGCCTCTCAAGGGGACATGGGCTAAGAAATTCCTTGAACCTGAAGCTCAAAGTCTCGACTCTCGCTATCGACCAAAGTCCGGTTATGAATCAGCTGAACTACTTAAACGAGCTCGGCCCGCCGTGAAAATGCAGTTCCAACGCCGTTGCGAAGAATTTGGATTGATAAACTTCCGCAGTTCGTCCCTTCAAGAGGAACAAGAGAGGGAACTTTCGCCCGAGACTGAGCAGGAACGCCAGGTCGAGCAGCCAGCCCATGCCCTTGCCGAGAGACACACATGCCATCCGGATCTCCGCTCTTTCATCAAGCTTGGAGAAATTCCGGTAGGATCTGGCGCGTTTAGGCCTGCTTTCCAGGCTCTAAAAAGAACTTCGGCAGTTCAGTACTTTGATTTACGCGAGTTTCCAAGTGGCATATGGGTGACTGAAGACTTTTCGAAAACAGTTAAGCTGGAGATTATGCCTGATAGCGGCATGGACCTCTTTCAACGGCCAGTACAATGGATATTGACAAGTAAACTAGAATGGTCGACTACCGTTAGTCGTCTTGTCATAATAAGTCCGTGGGAAGCGCATGAGCTCATGCCGGATATCGAAGCATCCAAGTTTGTCACTTTGCATTTATATGCGCCGAGGAGTAATCTTGGATTCCGGCCGCTGGATCAGTTGACGCTGTATACAGTGCCTCAAAGACGGAAGAAGTCAGTTATTCCGCCTGGCATGATGGCTGAACTGAACATCTTTGCAGGCCAGCTCTATTTGTCGTCATTCAAGGAATATGTCGAAGTGTGCACCAAGTTGGGCCTTGCCTGGAGCCCTGCTGATGAGTCTGTTGTCCTCGGACCTGATGGTTTCATTCCGCCTGGAGCCAATAGTGGACATCTTGTGAACAAGTCTGAGTTTACGAAGAGTCCTGTGCAGTTTATCAAGGTGCTGGTTACGAAGATTCGACGGAACTGCGAGACTGTTGAGAAGACGCATATAGGGAAGATGTTGGATGGAATTTTGTTGACGGAGGAAGATTTTGAAGATGATGTGAATTGAGTTAAGCTATGTTGTGTTGATTTTTGTCTGCTTTCTCTGCTTTCTCTGCTTTAAACGGTAAACTAGCGACTTGGGTAGTATTTGGACAATGTATAGCGCTACTGTATCTGCTTGGATATCAACAATTAATGAAACAATTGATGAGTGTTTTCCATTTCTGTATTTTCAACACTGAATAATATTCTTTTAAAGAACATATAAGAGGTTTGACTGAAAAGTTCCATCTCATGTCTATTCAGTCTGTTGGTGTTTTGCTGAGGTCGGCTTTAGTACATGTACTTAAGTACCTACCTGCCCAGATGCCCCTGCGCTACCAGGCTTAGCGCCGAGCCAGTAGCTTATCTTTTTATCTTATCGGCCTTTTTTCCTACGCCGATAGCCAAAATTTCTTCGAACATATCGATCCCGCCAAAGGCGAAGCCCAAATTCCATTCACCAGAAACTACACCTTTTGCGCTGCAACCAGTCGCAAAAATGGTGAAACGAAAAGTCGCCGCGCTCGAGAAGATCGATGCCGATTTGTAGGTTCAATTGCAGCTGTACGCGCATATAGTCCCTCATTATGCTAACAATTTGCTCACAGCGCGAGTCTTCAGTACAAAATCCGGCGAGACCCAAAGTAAGCTCTTCGTCACCAAATACCCATCTTTACTACAAACGATTGCTTATACGTTTTGTCCTTCATCTAGATCTTACAAGGATGATTTCATGAAGCAATGGGGCCAATATGAGGCCCAGCGCGAAATCTTCTTCATGTCCCCCACGACGGTCGCTGCCGACTCGGTCGAGTCTTTCCACAACATGATCGACCTCATCGCGCACGTTGCCGACTGCTATCCCGAAGAGACTCGCACGTTCCCGGACGATCTCAAGGCCATTGTCTCCGAGAACCATGAAACGCTTCACCCCGAGCTCAGAGAAAAGGTCGTCGGAAGCCTGGTGCTGCTGCGACGAAAGGAAGTCATCGACTCGGCTGCTTTGCTGACAACGCTGTTCCCGATCCTTGTGTCGTCACGAAGCAAGTCGATGCGCGCGATGCTCTTCCAGAAAATCCTCAACGACTTGCGAAATGCAAACTCAAAGTCCACCAATCATCCGCTGAATAGGACGATTCAAGCGGTGCTTTACAACCTCGTCACAGCTGATCGCTCTTCGCCAAGGGCTATTTGGGCTATTAAGCTGACGCGCGAGCTCTGGAAGCGACAAATTTGGACGGATGCGAAACCAGTTGATATCATGAAAGAGGCCTGTTTGGCGGATAACGAAAAAGTCATTGTCGGAGGTGTACGGTTTTTCCTGGGTGGCGACAAGGAGCGTGAGGAGCTCGAGGACGAAAGCAGCGACGAGGAGATTGACTTGGCCAAAGTGAGACATCAAATCACTATTAACAAAAAATCAAAAAAACAGAACCAGGCATACAAAAAGGCAGTCGACAAGGTCAAGAGACAGGAAAAGAAAAAGTCAAAGCCTCACCCGCTCAACTTTTCCGCCCTGCATCTGCTGCACGACCCTCAGGACTTTGCCGAGCAATTATTCACAAAGCATCTGCAGGGTACCAAGAACAAGCTCTCACTGGATACCAAGCTTCTCATCTTGCAGCTGGTCACCAGATTAGTTGGTCTACACAAGCTTACTATTGTGCCGCTGTACTCGTGGTTCATCAAATACCTTACGCCCAAGCAACAGTCCGTCACTTCCATCTTGGCGTCTCTAGCACAAGGTGTGCACAACTTGGTGCCTCCTGATGCTCTGGAGCCCCTAATTCAAAAGATTGCCAATGAGTTCGTCTCAGAAGCGTCAGCCTCAGAAGTCGCAGCAGTTGGTCTAAATGCCATTCGTGAAGTGTGCTCTAGACAATCTCTTGCCATGACGGAAACGTTGCTGCAAGATTTGGTCCAGTACCGCAAGAGCAAAGACAAGGGTGTCATGATGGCTGCCAAGGGTCTCCTGTCACTGTACCGCGAAGTGGGCGCAGAGATGCTCAAGAGGAGAGACCGCGGCAAGGACGCCACCATGGGCATCAGCCACGGTACAATGAAGCAGCGCAAATTCGGAGAGGAAGAAGTCGGCGGCATCGAAGGCCTGGATCTTCTTGCTAAATGGAAAGAAGAGCAACGAGAGCGGAAGCTTGCTGAAAAGGGAGATGATGCCTCTGGTGACGAGAAGGATCCGGATGCAGATGGATTCAACTCTGACGAGTGGGAAGTTGGCTCAGAAGACAGCAGCGACTCCGGGGAATGGATCAACGTCGAGCACTCCTCAGACGAAGACGAACCCGCCCCCAAGAAGCGAAAAGGCGACGGCAAAGACGACGAAGAAGACAAAGAAAACGCACAAGAAGCCGCCGCCGAGCTCGAGCGCATGACTAAACTCGCCACCACCACAATCCTCACCCCTGCCGACCTCGCCAAGCTCCAAGAACTCCGCGCCGCCTCCTCCGTCCAAAAAGCCATGGGCAGCAAGTTCCGCAAACAACAGAACAAGCAAAACCAAAACCAGGACGGCCACGTCGACGACGGCCTCACCGCCGAGAACATCGAGGCGCCCATCCGCCTGCGCAAGCTGACCAAGGAGGAAAAGGTAGCGCTCGCCAAGGAGGGCAAGCCCGATCGCGAGGAGCACAAGAGCACGACAGCCATTCGCAAGTCGAAGAAGGAAGCTGCGGGGAAGAGTACGAGCAATAAGGAGAAGCAGCGCAAGAAGAACTTCTTGATGACGCTGGGTAAGGCGAAGAGTAAGCAGAAGAGGAGCTTGGTTGAGACGAAGAAGGTGTTGAGGGGCCATGTGGAGAGGAGTACGAGGGGAGGAAGGAGGAGGAACGGTACATAGGTGTAAAATATGGGTGTATTGGGGGGGGGATCGTCTGTTTAATTTGATAGATATAGGTCTATAAGGAAGCGTGTTGTTAAACAGTGTCTTGAGTAGACAAAAGAAGGAGGAAAGTACTACAGCGGATACAGTATAATACGGACATAAACAAAATGAGTATTCAATGTTGTATATTTGCCATAGAATCATTATATGCATAATATGAAGAGAAACATGCAGCAATGCTGGTATCCAATGAAACCCACCAACCCAAATACTGAAAGAAAAAAAGACAAAAACATCTACACAGATTCATACCCAACATCCCTTCACTGAACGTTGGTGACCATGGGCTTCTCGTGGTCAATCTTCTCTGCAATCTCCTCATCATGCGTGTGGCCCTGGGTGCCAACCTCAGTCTCGCTAAAGGCATCGACAACATCGCGATACGCAGGCACAAAGTTGACGCAAAAGGCGTATGACCAAGCCACGATGAAGAAGGCGAGGGGAACGACCATGCTGATGCCATTGCCCTGTCTCTCTGCTGCTACAAAGGTCAAAGGCGGGACACAGGCGCCGCCGACAACACCACCGACAATGAAACCACTGCCACGCTTGGTGTGTCTGCCGAGACCCTTCATTCCGAGGGCGACAATGGTGGGGAAGCAGACAGATTCGAAGAAGAGGACGACGTAGAGCATGGCAATACCGGTGTCTCCTCTTTGGGTAGTGGACGGGCAGATGAAGACGATGCACAAGCTGATAAAAACAAGGAACACCCATCGTGGCTTCACAAAGCGCATGATGCCACTTCCGGTGAATCGGCCAATGGCAAAGGCAGCCTGGGCGCCGGCGAACAGCTTAGAGCCGAGACTGCTGGAAGTGCCTGGTTTGGTGTATACAGCATAGTTGATGAAACCACTGGCAATTGCAACTTGAGCACCAGTGTAGCAAAACTGAGCAAGGGCGGCGTGGAAGAGTCTGTATTGCTTCCAAAGCGGTTGGTCGTCTGAGCTGCCATGGGCTTCTTGGGCTTGGAATTCCATATCTAGAAGCGAGTTTGACATTAGCTGGCTGAGTTGAGAGGATCCGTTACAGCAAAAGACTTACCAGCATTTGTGATCTCGGGAATATTGGCCAAGAAGAATAGGGTTGCCAGGAGAAGGACAAAGACGACAATGGCCAGGTAAACCCATTGTACGTTTTGGAGAGCCTTTTCGTCACTGAAGTTGAAGAAGACGTACGAGCCAAGGACAGGGGCAATGACGGTACCGATTCCGTTGAAGGCTTGGGAGATGTTGATTCGGAGCTCGGAATACTTTGGCGGGCCGCAGACTAGAGTAATAGTATGTAAGCAGGGGTCGAAAATTGAGAGGGACAAATTGAAGCATAATCGATTGAGAGATCGTGACGATACATACCTGTGATGAAGGGATTGGCGGCAGTTTCAAGGGAGCCAAGGCCATTGCCGATGATGAAAATGGCGGCGCAAAATCCTCCAAATGACTTCGCCTTGATGCAAGGGATGGCGATAGCAGCACCTACAGCGTAGAGGAAGAGACCCCAGATAAAGACGGCCCTGAAGCCATAGTGGCGGAGAATCCAAGCCGCATGGCCGAGCGAAGCCAACGGATACGCGCTGAGACTCGATGTTAGCCAAGTTTCTAAATACGATAAAGCGCGGTGCAATGGAATATATATGTTTGCGCGATGCAAAAGAGAAACCCACCCAAAGTAAGCGGCCTGAAGACCAGAAGAACGCGCTTGGTCGATATGAAGCGTGTTCTGAAAATGCTTGTTCAGCGTATCAAGCAGGCCATAACTGAATCCCCAGAGGAAAAACAGGACGGTGACAAGCGCGAGAGGAAAGATTGATTCTCTGAGAGTGAGCTCTGCGGCCCTTGTACGGCTCTTGTCGTTGGCCTTGAGCGTTCGGGCCTTGAAGAATGTTGAGACGCCCATGGTGATAAGCTCCAATCTGGAGGATCCAACCAAGAATGAGAGGCGGTAAGGAGAGGAAAAGACGAAATTGACTCTGGGACACTCTCGATCAAAATTGCGCTCTGGTGTTGGGAATGCGACCCTTTTGACTCAATTCGGTTGACCCAGCCCCTCACATCACCAGCCAGGGTTTCCTTTGACTCGTAAAGAGCAGTTCTGGGATAGATAGCGCATGTACATCGCATTGCAACGCTGCTTTCCCTGGTAAAATGGAGACATGATCATCCGGCCTCAAAGTCCGGGTTGGTACTAGCCTCGCCGCCCTAAAATCTCCCGTCGGCAAAATGGCTCCTCCAACGAGCTGCGAGATGCCTCATTGCTGTGGGTTCTTTCGCGTCTTTTTTTTAAAGTGTGGCGTCTTAAACCCCGACTTATTGATGTGGCTGCCATGTTATTCGCATACGAGGGGGACAAAGGAGAGGCTATCCGCTTCCTCGGTGGCGTCGGTTCGGCTGCTGGCGAGAATTTCTCCGCATCAATAACGGTCGAGTCTCTCCCGAGCTCAGTGCCAGCATACGCAGAGACGGTAGCGATCTGTACGCGCACAACAGCCGTCGACCCGTCTTTAGCAACTCTGGAGAAAAGACGGGTCTCGGAGGTGGAGGCGTCTGGGATTGCTGGGGTTGAAGGAGGCGGGGAAACCAGGACGGCTGGCCATTGGCCTGAAGCGAGCCTGGGGATGCTGGATCTCGAACCAAAGCTGCCCCGAAAGCCTGGTAATTACGCGCTGGAGTGGGCGCAGAGCACGAGGAGCACGAGATGGGCCGATGGCGAGTCGCAATGATGACGGCAATTGTTGGCCGACAGGCATGGCCCCTAGGCGTTCCCCAGATATCATCAACATCGTCACAGTGACTCGACCACAAGAATGCCTCGACGTCGTATCCGGCATAATTGCTCGCTGTCCGTAGAGCTGCGCGATCTGCTGGCGCTAGAAGCCCTGGAATTTTCCATTGCGAGCAGAGACGAGAGGAACATTCCCCTCACGGTTCGTGGGGTGTTCAACGCAGCTCATGGGCTGGTAGCATCTGCATTTCGCGGTCCCACATCGCTACTGTGGCCCGGTTGGTGCCTATATCATCTTCGCGGGGACTGTCAATTGGCTAAGCATAAGCATATTAGCTGCGTGCGGAGAAGTTGTTTTTAGTCCTTCACACCCATTCCATCCCAGGGGGCGACCTGCTTGGGCAGTAGAAGTAGCTGTACATGGAAAGAGGGATGAGATGCTGCAGCGCAAGATGTAAGTGTCCCAATTTCAAGCAAGGAACGGATATTGGTGCCTGAAGTGGTAGCGGTATTTACCTATAGTAGGCAGTCACTGAGGCACTTGACTTCGATGTTTCTACTCCAGATCCAACGTCAGGCCCATCACGTGCAGCAGCCGATCTCTGGACTTTAATGTCTTGTGAGAAGTACCTACCCATGTACTGCATCCTGCTAACAAACGGCTGTTGGTTTTAGTGAAAGATTCCGGCTATTTAGCTTACAAGTGGCTGACTCGCTTTCCATCGATCTTTGAAAGCTCCCGTCGGCTTCTTTCATTTCCCCAGATCTCCAGCCCTTTCAGCCCCAAAAACAAGGCGCCCCGGATGACTCTGCTGGAACTACATACCTACTAGTAGTAGCATCAGCCGGCTGGCTAAATTAGGCAGCGAAGGCCTAATATTATAGGTACCTGTAGTGTCACTACCACGCTATGCACCCAGTCCAAGAGAGGCTGTTCCCCAACTTGACCACATTTTGGGGTCGACTATCGCATCGTCAGCCACAATACCGCCTTTCAAGGATGGGTTACTTTGACTGTAGCTGAACGATTCGCGGATAGTACAAAACGCTTAATATTTTGACATTGCCTGATTTGATCTCGTGGCACATCTAGAGGCTCTGCCTCATTCTCCCGTCGGCTATCATAAGCCGAGACTCTCAGCTCAGTAGTGAATATTGATGTTTGTCAGTCAAGGAGCCAATTGATGTATAGCTTTGTCATTTAAGCTTTCATACATTGTACTCCACCGCCCTAATATCCTCCATACTACCTCAAATAATCTATTAGTTCAACCATTCGAGGTCGTATTATCTGTTTGCCGCCTCGTATATTTGAGGCTGTCTTAGCAGGGCGACTGACACGGGAGCAATAATAATCTCGTCGGTTAAATAAGTCCTGTCTAGCCTTCCTCTCGTGCCATTTGCAAATGTTTTATGATTTCTATTAATGCCCTTTTTTAAATTATTATTGAAACTAAGCGACGCTGACATGGGTTATAAGTCATTGTTGTTGACTCTGCTTTGATACAAGGGCTAGACTATTTGCGTATATCTCAACGCGTATCGGCTGGACTGCAGGAGGAAGCCAAAAATACATGACGTATTATTGATAGAAAGCATTTGCGAAAGCTCTTGGGTCTACCAAATATCAAGTAATAAACCACTGGAATTTCAAGAAGTTGTACTTTGAGGACTGGAAGTTCGAAATTCTAGCTTTTCACCGATGGTTTGTATCCATACTAATAGCGATGAAGAACTTAGAATAACTCTCTGATGATCAGAATCATGAGCATCTAGAATAAGAATGCTGTGATAAAACTTGAACCTTAGCCGCTGTATATCATCTGCTTCTACTCATCGTCTTTGAAGTCGAAAGTAGCTTAAGGAAGGAAGAACAAGCCGTCCCTTCGGTATACTGAATAGCCTTAAAGACATAGATGTTTGGGCTTTATGGCATGATGGGTAGTTATCGAGCATTAGAAGTAGGGACAAATGCAAATTGTTATCCCATGGGATAAGTCACTTGAAATTAGGATACATATTTTTCCCACGACCTGAAGTACCAAGTCTCGCCGACTGTCTAAATGTTACATACCATACGATCGCGCCAGCTCCAGCGATACGGTGCCGATATGCCATTGGGTGAGTATATACTTGACTTACAGATGAACAAAAGCGCTACAAATATGTTTCTCAAGATAAAGAAGTTTAGTATAAAATATCCAATTGACCTCAACATGTCAAAGCATCTAAGCCATGACCCACCTCGGTGAGCTGACATGCGCCATGGTGGGGCCGTTAGTCGCGGGGCTCACCGAGGTCAAGTCGGCGCCTCAATTTATTTTTTTTTTTCTTGCCGCGACAAAATTTCAACAATACCAAGAGCTTGTTCCGTAGCCTTGCCGAAATGTCCAGAAATACGGTGCAGCCCAATGGATGGGTTGCGATTAGATTGCCAAGTGAAGTGACGCGAGTCCTTCAGGTTGTTCCCCATACGTGAGCTTTTCTCTCTTCTGAGTTTTCCTTGCTTGACGGCCTCTGAACTAACGGGATCTCTAGAACCATTTCTCTAGGCAAATACGGCTCATTCCCGAGTAATCTTCTAATCGAACGACCGTTCCACCTCACCTACGAGATCCAAGACAAGCTCGACGGCGAAAGCTTTCCCCGACTCCGGGTCGTTCCCGGCACAGAGCTCAATGCCGATAAGCTCGCCGACGTGAGCGCCACCGAGTCCGCCGATGCGGACGAGGTCATCGAGCCGGGAAATGGAGAGGAGCTCACGCTCGTTGACGAGAGCGGCAAGGTCGTCGCGCGATCTACCCGCGAGGTGATTGACGAATCTGCCCGCCAAACGCTCACAATGGCAGAGATCGACCAGCTGAAGAAGGAGGGCGCGGCGGCGGGCAAGGAGCTCATCGCCAAACTCATGCTCTCTCACACGGCGATTGACCAGAAGACGGCATATTCGCTGGCCAAATATAAGCTGCTCAAGGAGAAGAAATACATGCGAAGGTTTACCGTCCTACCTCTTGACGTGGCCATGCTTGGACACTGGATGCTGTTTGAAAGAGATGGAAGCAAGGTCATGGAGATGCGACAAGAAATGATTGGCTTGCTAGGATGCTGGGCCGATGTTCATTTTGGCGGGTTGCCAATTGACGGGGAGCAAGGTCCCCATGGCGGACGATGGCTGGCTGTTGATGACACAGGCGGCCTGCTGGTTGCAGCCATGGCCGAGAGGATGGGAATACTGCACGCTGAGCCATCGGAAGGAGACGAGGCAACAAAAGAGGCAGTCGAAGATGAAGAGAACCCAAAGACACAGCCTGCCGGCGTTGAAGCAGATGCGGCGGCGGCAGAGCCCTCAGCGTCTCCCAAGGCCCAGCGAAGCAGGCCCAAGCGACCGCGAAAAGATGATCTCGAAGATCACTATGCTCTCACAAACAGCATTACCCTCATTCACGCCAACTCACAACCCAACCTCTCTCTCCTCCGCCACTTTGACTATGAACACAGCGACCCCAATCCCCCGTATCCGTATCACCCGCTCTTCACCAACTTGCTACCCATATCCTGGCTCCAGCTGCTGGATCCAGAATCCGACCCTACCTACTCCGAGCCCGTACCCGAAGTAGGGTCCGACGTCCTCTCTGCCTGGAAGACCAACCGCCGCGCAAACTACCACCGCAAGCGACGGCGATGGGCTCGCACGCGTCAAATCGTCGACGCAACCCGAGCAGGCGGCTTCTCCGGTCTCGCCGTAGCAAGCACCATGGATCCCATCTCAGTGCTGCGTCATGCGCTCCCTCTGCTCGCAGGCGGCGCCCCCGTCGCCATCTACTCACCGACAATTGAACCCCTGACGCAACTGGCGGACTGCTTCAGCATTGGCCGCCGCGGCGCTTGGGTTTCCAATCCTCCGGCCGAGGCGGAGGGCAAGACGGCCGTAGAGCTTGAGAATTGGCCGGGCACCGCCGAGTTCCCCATCAACCCGGCGCTGCTGATCGGAGCGCAGGTGCAGACGAGCCGGGCGAGGAGATGGCAAGTCTTGCCCGGCCGGACACATCCGTTTATGACGGAGAGGGGCGGGGCGAGCGGTTACGTGTTTACGGGCTGGAGGGCGATTCCGGCGGAGGGTAATATTACGGCCAGAGGCAAATTCAATAATAGGAAGAAGGCAAAGACGGGATAGTTGCGGTTATCAAGTGTGGTGGGAAATAGAATGAGTTGAAGTTGATGACGGGTGGTACATGAGAGTCTTAAAGTATGAATAGAAATTTCGAATACCCTTTGCGTGCATGCAAATTAGACCCCATTTTCATGCCGGAATTTCCAGCCAGGCGTGCAGTAAAATAATGATAGTATTCCCCGGTCTAGATGTCTCCAAGTACGAAAATTCCACCTCTCTACAACGACTTGCCCATAAACTTTCTCTTCGTGAAGCTCAACCACCACTTGCTCGGCTTAGTCTCGTCTTCCTCGTACACTCTAGCCAGTAACCGGGTGGCAAGCTCCTGGCGGACCTGCGCCATGTACAGCTTGAGCTGCTCTGCGTCCTGTCTGTCCCGAGGAGGCTCGTACATCTAAAGTTTCAACATTAGTCTCGCTTTTCATCCTTCAACCGTATGAGAAAAGGCGAACCTGGTTCAGAGGGAATGCTGGGTCTCCGGGAATGGCAAAGTTGAGATCCAGAGCCAGGTTGTTGACCTCCTTGGCGGCATCGCGGGCAATGGCATTGGGCTTAATCTTGGTCAGGCAGTCGCTCACGAACCAGATCCCGTAGACGAGCAGGCGGTCGGCAGGGCCCTTGATCTCAAAGTTGCGGAAGAAGGTGTTTGCGCGGAAGAGGCGGAGGACCTCGTCGAGAATGTCGTAGCTCTCGCTCTCGATCTCGGGGGACTCGTAGGCGGGCAGCGGCGGTGACGGGAAGGGCAGGACGTAGGCGGGACCGCGGGTCTTTGTGCGGAGAGGCAGGAGAGGGAAGTTGCCGATGAGGCGAGGAGGGTTCGGGTCGGAATTGAAGTCGGAGTTGTAGGCCTGGCAGTTGGACATCGGGTTAGCAAGAGTCGAAGATGCATTCGAGGAGAGTGCTATAGGGAGATGCTGAGAGAGCTCGAGACGGGCACGCAGTCGGCCATAGCACCACCGCCGATGCGGCCTGCAACAAGACGAGCGCCGTCTGGTCCTCTCCGCCAACAAGGCAAGGCACGTACCGGCATCGTGAACTGCAATGGCGCCGTGCCGCGGAAGAAGCTGCTGGGAATGAGGTTGGAAGCACGAGATGCTGCAATTGGCGGGGCTCCTCCTAAGACACAGCCAGACAGACCCATGGAGGAGCTGTCGTCAACCCGAGTCGCCAAGTGGGGCCAGCGCCGAGCTCAGGTGCCTTCTCCGTGCTGAGGTAAGCGCGCGCCACACGGACCTCCTGTGCCACACCTCTCAGGCAAAACAGGGCAAATCAGGCCCGCAAAGCCGCCACACAGCTGCCGGCTGCCTAGATCACGTGAGTTCGCTCTACGGTCGCGCCGCCTCGACCTCCCTGGCCCGACGCGCCCGCTTGCCTGCGGCCCAACAAAAGGTGTGAACATTTATTAATCGACGAATTGCCCTGCGCGGCGCGTTTGCTGCATCGAGAGAAGAGCTGTCTCACGTTGTTCCTCAGGTGCCGAATTTGTGTGCCTACAAAAGACAGACGACGCCCTTTTTGCCCCTTCTTTCATTCACGATTTGTGATTTGCCCTTCTATAATAAGCGACCATCCCTGCACACGCAGAATATCACCACTTGTGGTTTCTTCATCTTCATCTCCAAATCTCTCCTGCCCCCGTTCTTGGGATTCTACATTTAATCCTTGCACTTTTTTCTTTTCCTTTCTTTTTTTTTTGTTCCTTCCAGAAACAAAGAAGGGGGGAAATTCCGAATATTTGGAGAAAAAAGCAAAGTTTGCGGGGAAATTCAGCAGGGAATAGACGTGCAGCAGGCCGTTACATTTTTCTGTCGCGTTTAACGCGGGGAAGGGCCTCAGCCATTCAGAGACAGACAAACACATGGTAAGGTGTGAATCACGCGAACACGAGATCTCATCTAGAAGCTGGACAGCTTCAACATCTTTCGAAGTCGAATTTAGAAGAAAGGAAAATTATATTCACAGTGACCCTGCTAACACATGTATAGCTTCATGTTTCGCCGAAGCGCCATCATCGCCAAGTTTCGTGCCTTCGTGGACGAGATGACCAGCAGCCCCTCCATGCCGCCATCTTCCGACCCCAAAGAAGATGACGACAAGGTTATGGAGTCGCCTGCGTCCACGCCACCAACCACGCAGCAGCCCAAGTTCGATTCATCACCACCACGACGAACTCTTCCTTCACGGCGTGCAGCTCGACGGCGCCGCCCACAAAAGGGCTCCCTTCGGGACATCCTCCGCCAGAACTCTGGGACTTCGCTCTTTGTGCGCCCCATCGGCTGGACGGATCTCCATGCCAGCCTGCTAGGTGTGCGCTTCTGTGAGCTGCCGGCTTGCGACACTCCACGACCAAGCAACCTGCCAGGCTCTCCGCCGACGCAGGGCCACATGCGACCGTCGCCCACCATTACCAAGCTGAGTGACGCGCTGACGGAGATTTTGCTGCTCTCGTCGGGCCTTCCCAAATCAACTTCTACTGCCGTCAAGACTGTGCTGATGACGCTGTGGCCAACAGCGTTTGCAAAGTGGCAGCTGTTCCCGGATCTGAACATATATTTCGGTGACAAGGTTTACCATGATGCAGTGCGTGTTCAAGCCTTGTGGAACTTCCCCTCACATACTTCGGCCTCATCATCGCAAAGCTCAGTTGCAACAATACCAGCACGGCCTGTAAGCTCATCGTCAAGTCCGCCTGCTCACTGCACTGCAAACTTGCCGATGCTGTGCTACATTGGCAAGAACCAACTTGCATCAATACGCAAGTGCATCTTTCGTGTAGCGACCGGACCAGGTGACAATCCCAACATCCCCGTCCAGAGGCTACAGCAGCTTCGCGCCAAGCTTCTTATCCCAGCGGATGCTGATAAAGATGCGCATTTCGTCGGCATCTTCTTGGCCATGGCGCAGAGACATTTCTACACACCCCCGATACGAACTTTGACAAGAGAATCATCCCTGGGATTACAAAAGCCTTCTTCTCGTCGACCCGACTTTCAAGATGTCAAGATGAGAATCCTGACGCATGACAACGAGACGAGCGAGTTCTTGGTCTATACGGGCCATGTCACAGCCCAGTTTTTGGATCGGTTCTTCGACCCTTCTGGCGCCTTTTATGAGGACGACGGCACGATTGCGGGAATGAAGATTGAATATACCCGCGTTCCCATCTGGCCCATCCTGGGACTACGAGAACGACTCGGCAAGGCTTTGGGAGAGGACATTGTGGGGTCATTCGATTCAAATCAAATGGAGACGTGGGAGTTAGATAGCGAGTCGAGATTCTCAGAACCAGGAGCTAGAGGCGCAAACATCAAGCGAAAGCGGGCAACTCCGACAGCGCTTGATGGGAGCTTGGATGAAGAATCCGACGAAGATCAGCCCGCCATAGAGAAGAAGCGGTGTCTGAGCGAGGAGAGAAATCTCGTTGGCGTTGCGGTTTAAAGGCAGAAAATGGCTATAAATGGTAATGCATGGACGTTGGCATTGGGCGCTAAAGGCAAAACTTATGACTAAATGTAATGTCTAGAAAGGGGGGGCTACTATATACCAAGGCAAGATGGCGCAGGGTCGAACCCGTGGATTCTCGGTATTTTGGGAGGACAGCATTTGACTTTTTTTTTTTTTACTCCGGTCTGCGGATATGACAGGAAGCTATCTCGCATGATCCGAAGGCTTCACAGTTGCGGTGCTGAGATTTCAAGGTGGTGGCAAGATCAGACCATCTCGTTCTCAACTAGGCACTCGAGGACTTTACTTTTGTATCTTATTCTTTCTTACAAGTTAGGCGTGTAATGATATTACTGGCGAATTGATTCGATATAATGTTTGAGCATAGACTAGAGTGAATATGCTTGGCTGTATTGTATCGACTGGCGGAGCGAAAGGGGTGTCGCGCTGTGTGTTTGGTGGGTGGTTGCGTCTTGAAGATTATGCAGATGGCACGACAGAATCTTTGAGCACATTAAGTAAGATATATCTTCCTGTATTACGCACAAAGTCTGCATCCAAAGCACCTAGTCAATGAGTTCATTGCTATATTTGATGGCTGATTTCAAAACCTACATGTAGAGGTGCCTATCCAATGTAGAGCATGTGACTTTTCCTTCCTGAGGCACGCATCGAAGAGCCTCTTTTCTTCCTATATTGCGTCCCCCAACGGCCATCATCAATTCCCATCATCAAATTCCATTATCATCCCTGCAATGAGTCAACTAAGACACGAATTTTTTTTTTTAGTAATATCAGGTGAGACAAAGCCGTTGCTGCATGGATCTGCCCTCCTATAGCGCCGGTGGCTTGCTCTATCGCCATCTCGCGGCCCAATACTCTTACTCCGCCAAGACAAAAGTCCAGCCTCAGCGTGCATCGTGAGGTATTTCTCTCCGCATCCTTCATCTTGTGCCTGAGCTGACCTGTGTATCCCCAATAGGCAATGGGCAATGGGAGCTAATGTATGTGTGCCACCCCATACACAACTGACCTCGGCTCCCAACCTTATTCATGCCCCTGCCAGCGTCTTTCATCGCCTTTAAACACCAATCCTTTTACATGTGCTCTCAATAGTTTCAAGAGCTTACAATTCCCCGTGGCTCGACTACGACGACTCCAGCTTCCAATGCCTAGCCCCCTGCTGGCGTTGCAACTGCACCCCGCATTTCTTACCCCACGGGGAAAAATGGACTTCAACTAAGAGCTTCTTTGCTCTTCTAGGCAGCTCAGTAGGACAAATACAGAATACTACCGGCAGCTGTCAAAGGCGGGGTTTGGAAAGTTTTGCGACATTGAGTAAGATGGCCGAAGCGTCGACAGAAATGCACCGCCTCTGCCCTTTTCAATGCAAGCTCCACAGAGATGTGGCACGAGACCATCCATGAGTGAGGAAGAAGGCCCTTTTTGTGTCCAGCTCCGGCTGCAGTGTAGCCCTTACTTCTTTGCGCTCCGGCCTGGCCGCGGTTCCTTATTCACGCGAAGTATGAGTGGACAGCTGCTGCTTATGAATGTGATGGTCTCTGTTTGACGCCCAAGCGGATACGTTTTGTTCCGGCCAAGAGGTCTAGTCCTCGTTCTTCAAAATCACTTTTGTCTCCAAATGCTGCTGTGTGGGTGGAGATGTTCATTTTTCGACACCACGTTGAACCATGCAGAGGGCAGAAATTCAGCCAGAGCCAAGATTTTTGCAGAGACACTCCAGGTCGACCATAATGGCCTCTTGAGAATTAGTCTCAATTCCCCGCAGAGGCCTTTTACGGTGTGAATGACCCCGTATTCGTATGCGTTGATCTATATAAACGATGGTGAGTCTTCTGAATCTGAGCTGGACACTCCCAGTCGTCAAGTCTTTTTCTTCCCCATCATCTCTCTGATAACGCCTTGAGTCTTCAGGATGAGGTTGTCTGCTACTCTTCCGGCCGTTTTGGGCTTCTTCTCTTTGGCTGTAGCAGCCCCAACACCAGAGACTCAAACTCTCGAGGCTCGGTCCTCAGTGAGCGTAAAAATCGCCTCTGGAACCATCGTCGGCAGCTCCATCTTGGGCATTGATACCTTTAATGGTATACCCTTTGCTGATCCGCCAGTGGGTAATCTCAGACTTGCTCCTCCTCAGAAGCTATCCAAGAACTTGGGAACCTTTTCCACACCGGCACTTCCTCCTGCGTGTCCTCAAATGTTTCTTTCGACAGGCTCGTCAAACATATTGATCAAGCTGTTGGGAAGCTTCTTAAACTTTCCCTTCTTGCAGCCGATCACTGGCCAAGAGGACTGTCTGAATATCTCTGTTCAGCGACCTGCCGGCACCAAGGCTACAGACAAGCTGCCAGTGGCATTCTGGATATACGGTGGAGGATTTCAGCTTGGCGCCACAGTCACTTATGACGGCACCAGTCTTCTCGCTACTGCCATTGCTCAGAATCAGCCTATGATCTACGTTGCGGTCAATTACCGCGTTGCAGGTTTCGGTTTCCTTCCAGGAGCTGAAATCCTCAAGAATGGCAGTGCAAACTTGGGGCTATTGGACCAGCGTATGGGTCTCCAATGGGTGGCTGATAATATCGCGGCCTTTGGCGGCGATCCAGACAAGGTCACCATCTGGGGCGAGTCTGCAGGCGCAATGTCCGTCTTTGACCAGATGATTCTTTACGGCGGCAATGCTACGTACAATAGCAAGCCTCTGTTTCGCGGTGCCATTATGAATTCTGGAACTGCCGCACCAGCTGAGCGTATTGACTCTCCAAAGGCTCAAGCCGTTTACAACAATGTTGTCAACAAGGCCGGCTGCAGCGGAAAGGCAGATACATTGGCATGCTTGCGCCAACTGCCTTACAGCACGTTTCTCAACGCAGTCAACTCGGTACCAAGCATCTTCTCCTACAACTCTCTCGGGTTGTCGTACCTACCACGCCCAGATGGCGTTGTTCTTCAGGATAGTCCCGATGTTCTCTTCGAACAAGGCAAATACCATCCGGTGCCTATGATTATCGGCGATCAGGAGGATGAAGGGACCTTGTTCTCTGTTTTCCAGACCGATGTAAACGACAGCCCGAGCCTTGTCAACTGGCTTTCCACATACATGTTCTCCAATGCCACAAAGGCCCAGCTAACTCAATTGGTCAATACGTACGATACCGCTATTTCCAGTGGTAGTCCATTCCGGACAAGTATCTTCAACGAATTCTACCCTGGCTTCAAACGAACGGCTGCGCTCCTCGGCGATCTCGTTTTCACGCTCACCAGACGCATGGAACTTGCTACCCACGCAAAACTGAATCCCAGCGTGCCCACCTGGTCCTACCTCTCATCTTACGACTACGGCACTCCCTTCCTCGGCACTTTCCATGCTTCCGACATCATCCAGGTGTTTTACGGAGTATTGCCTAACAATGCCATGTCAAGCGCCAGATCATACTTTTTCAACTTCATCTACAACCTTGATCCAAACGTAGGGACGAAGGGGTACGCCAAGTGGCCCAAATGGGCGGATAACCAGCAGCTCATGTGGTTCCAATCAGCCGACTCGAACAGTCTGCTGGCGGACAATTTTCGAAATGAGAGCTACCAATGGATTGTGCAAAACAAGGCGGCTTTGAGGGTGTAAGCATGACAGTGATGGGCGGGTATGGCGTTTTGGGAATGGAATTGAGATAAAAAACAAAATTGGAAACTCAAGGGCTTGAGTTGGATGTATGTATATATGACCTATAAGTGGAACAGATGGACAAAACGTGTATATATGAATGAATGACATGAGTGAATGAAAACAAATTGTATAAATGAATGAATGAACGGATGGATGGTGCTACAGTGTCAAAGGAGAGCCCTCAGATATTGGCAACCTTCTCTTAACTGCATACGGCTAGCACAAATGCCATTGCATATATAAGTTTCGCAACATTTCATCCATAAGATGGTAAAATAAACGGCCACCGTTATTTCTGCTGTAAAGATGTTAAATGCTGCCAATGGCGCAAGCAAACATAATCACCTTTAACATCGGCGCATTCATCTCCACCCTTTTCCTCCTCGAATCCGGCGCCGATAAATTCATCGCTCACGCAGCCGCCCTCGCAAGCCGCATTGGCATTTCCGAAGTGACAATCGGACTCGTCACCGCAGGCGCAGAATGGGAAGAAGTAAGTGATTCCCAGGTAGCTCTGAATAAAATTTTTTGTATATATATATATGCTGATGTTTCACAATCTTTCTCCAGCTCGCAGTTGTCGTCGCGTCGCTGGCGCAGGGCCGACCATCCCTGGCCATGGGCAACGTCATCGGCTCGGCCATCTCCAACATCCTGGGCGCCTTTTCGCTTGGCCTGCTGTGCTTTGAAGGAGAAGGAATCGAGTTTGATAGAAGCGCGAGGATTTATTCCCTTTTGACGGCTGTGTTGACGACGTTGGTGGTGCCGGTCGTTTACTTCCCGAACGGGATTGTTTGGCTGGTTTGCGGACCGCTTCTGGTTGTTGTGTTTGGCATGTACTTTTTGTTTGTGGCTGTGGCGATTGGGCGGGGGGTGCTTGCTGCGCCGCAAGACTCAGACAGCGAAAGCGATGATGATGATGATGATGAGGACGATGCAAGTTCTGTGGGCAGCACGACAGGCCTCCTCGCGGATGGCTCAACTCTGAGGGCGAGGCAACGCCGCAATCACCACCAGCTGCTGTATCACGGACTCTACCTCGTCTTTGGCTTCCTCGCCATCTGCCTCGCCGGCTATGTCCTCTCCCAAGCAGCAATCAACACCATCGACCAGCTGCACACCTCCGACATGCTCTTCGGCATCGTCGTCCTCGCCATCGCCACGACGCTCCCGGAGAAGTTCATCGCCGTCATGAGCGGGCGTCGCGGGCATCCGGGGATCCTCGTCGCAAACTCTGCGGGCAGCAACGTCTTTCTCTTGACTCTCTGCTGCGGCATCATCATGATGGACGCAGACGCAGAGGGGGGCTTGGGCAGAGAGAATGTGACGATGGCGGAATTGGCTGTTTTGTGGGTGTCGACGGCGCTGTTTGCGGGGACGGTGTGGTTTGGGGGCCGGGTATCGAGATGGATTGGCGGAGGGATGGTTTTGGGGTATGTTGGGTTTATTGTGCTGGAGGTTGCTGTGGTTCACAAGGTTGGGGACTGACGGGTCATTTTTTGAGATTTACAAAGTAAACTTGATGAAGCAAAAGGGCATGAAATGGGCAGCCGTAGCAGCAGTATAACTAGATATACAATAGAGGTAATGAGTAGTACTCAGAAGGAGTAAAAGAAATCAATAGGAGCAGTAGAAGCAACAAATACATACACTAATAACAAGTGTTATAAAAGTCTCATTATAAATAAACAACATGATCAACAATGGTTTGATGTGTTATTCGCTCTTCATATAGGCCACACCTTCGGCATTGAGATAACATTATGAATACTCAATGTCGGTGGTATGTTGAGTCTGCATGACCGCAAAATGACACTCTTATATCACCCACTCCATCTTTTGAGACTGTGTTACAAACTTTTATGTCTTTGCTCGTCGCGTTTTAGGGCTCCTGGCGGTTCATCGTCTATTCCTGTTTATTTTCATCGATAGTGCCTGAATCTCGTGTTGGAAAATGTACCAATCATCATCTGAACAATAGCCAGTTATGTAGCTTCATTTTAACTTTGACATTTAACTTTTACATTTATATATATACACCATGCCAAAGCATGTTAGCAGGCATGTTACGTTTCAAGTTACATGCGCCAATAATTCCATTTTAGACATCGGTTAGTTGTACCCATTAGTCGAGAGCCACTGCTTCAGCGCAGCAGCGTCACGCTTCTTGTACGAAGCCCTGCCCCTAATTCTGTCCTTGGCCGTCTCGAGCGTACGGTTAAAGCTGCTCGTGTCCTTATCCTTGAAGAACTCCTCAACTTCGTCAATGATGGCAATGTCAGTAAAGGGTTTCAAGCTAAGGCCAATGAAGCGGTCGACAACAATGGGGTTTCCGAGCTTGGCGGCGACAAGATCCCAGTTGTTCTTCATAAAGTCCCACTGGATGGTACGGCCAGTAGGGTGAGCGGCCAGGTTGCCACCAAGCACGTGCATATCGGCCGCAGGGACGGCGTTCTGGGGAGGAGATGAGTTGAAGTTGAAGGGAACGAGGTTGTTCTTGATAAGATCGGCATCTTCCACAGTGGCAAGACAGCTGAGAACAATGAGTTTGCCGTCGATGGCCTTGGTGCTGAACCACTCCTTCTTGAGGACTTCGACGTTGCGCGCGGCGTTGTCGGCGAGACCAGCGCGCCAGACGATGCTTCGTAGAGACGGGTGGATGGGGTTGGCCTCGGGGTTTTCAACCCAAGCGTTGAATCGCTTGATACCTTCCGCCTTGACCCTGTTCGAATGGTTAGCAATAGTTGCTTTGCCGTGATTTTGCGCTTGGACATATGATATCAAGTAAACAAAAAGAGAGAGAGAGAGAGAATTTTCACTTACTCGGGGTGTCCAGCAGAAAGAGCGCTAAGAAGGAGTTCCTTGCGCAGAATACCGCCAAGGTAATCCTCGCCCTCGGGGAACTCCCATCCAACCTGCTTGACCTTCTCATCAATCAGCTTGACGGTGAAGTTGTTAATACCCTGCTTAATCTCCTTGTCCTCTTCAAAGACAGACTTGAGTTCTCTAATGCAGTCAAGAACTTGGCTCCAGACGAGAGGATGAGTCTCCTTCTGGAAGCCCTGGATAAAGCTCAGGAGGGCTGACGAAGAGCTGTTGCCGGCGAAAGCAAGATCCGCAGTTGAGCCAAGGGTGAAAATCTTGTCCTCGGTGCCAAGCTTGTCGAGCTGAGTGCTCAGCTTGGCCAGGCGAGAGGGAGGGTAAGCTACGCGGTAGAAGCCAGTTGCGCCGCTGTTGAGCTTATAGAAATCCTCATCAATGTCAAGGATAGTATCCTCCTTCTTGGTCAAGGACAGATCGGCAACACCAGCCTCGCCCTTCTTTCCGGCCACGCCAAGGGGAACCCACCAAGTGGTGGTGTCATCTTCGGGCTTGACATCGCCGGTAGACAGGAAACGGGACTGCTTGATGGCAATTTGTCCAGGCTTCTCCTCCACAGTCAAGACCGGGTGTCCAATCTTGGAAATCCAAGGATACATGATTTCGTTGATGTCCTTGCCAGAGGCCTCAGTGAGCGCATCCCAAAGTGCCTTGGTCTTGGCATTGCCATAGGCGTGGGCCTTGAGGTAGTTGGAGACACCCTTGAGGAAAGTCTCCACTCCGAGATGGTTGGCAAGCATGCGGATGGCAGAGCATCCCTTGAGGTAGCTGATGTGGTCAAAGATCTGGTTCACGTCGAGAGCATCGCGGACAGGCACGTGGATGGAGTGACTGGCGCGAATACCGTCAAGGCGGAAGGCATTCTGCATGCCCTCATTGACGAACTGAGACCAGACCTCCCACTCGGGGTGCAGGTGGTCGACGGCATGCCATCCGACCCAGGTAGCGAAACCTTCGTTGAGCCACAGCTCATCCCACCAGTCCATAGTAACCAAGTTGCCAAACCATTGGTGAGCAAGTTCGTGAGCCACGACGTAGGCGACAGAGTTTCTGAAGCGGCTATCGGAAGTCTTCTCGTCAAAGAGGACCTGAGTGGTGCGGTAGGTAACCAGACCCCAGTTCTCCATGGCGCCGTGGGTAAACTCGTGGACAGCAAGCAGATCAGACTTGGGCAGCGGGTAGTCAATGTCGAAGATCTCGGAGAAGTAATCGATAATCTTGGGGGCGTGCTGGAGAGCCCAACGGCCCTGTTCCTTAAGACCACGGGTGGTGTAGACACGGACTGGGATCTGCTTTCCATTGTATTTGCGGTCGGTCAGCTGCTCGATGTACTCAAAGTCACCGACAGCCCAAGCCAGGAGGTAGGAGCTCATAAGAGGAGAAGTCTCGAAAGACACGACGTGCCATCCTTCCTTGGACGGCTTGATGTCCTTGACCGGCATGTTGCTCAGGGCGACCTGGTCGGCGGGAATCTCGACATCAAGGTCGTAGGTGGCCTTTAGGTTAGGCTCGTCGAAGCAAGGGAAAGCTCGGCGGGCATCGCAGGATTCGAACTGGGTGCTGAGCATGTAGTGCCACTCGTCATCGTGGGGGACCGAGGCGGCGGGGGTTTCAGCGGGTCTGTATTTGCTGCGGTAGAAGCCAGCCATCTCGTTGTTGATGATACCTTCGAACTCGATGACGACGGAAGCCTTTTTGGAAGCGGGGATCTCCTGGTCAAAAGCGATGGTGACACGCTGAGCCTTGCCGTCGTAGGAGACATTGGAGGACTCCCACTTCTGCTCAGACTTTGTGTGGTCAACCTGGACCTTGGCATTGTGCACCTTGAGCTCGAGGGCGTTGAGGACAACCTCTTTGGTAGGCTTGACGATTTCGGATTGGATGCTGTGAAAGACATATTGTCAATAAGCAATCACGAAAAGGAGGATGCAGAGCAGATGAAGCTGCTGAAGCTACCACAGCTGAAGCTTTCTACTTACGTCACAGTGCCCTTGTACGTCCAAGCCTTGAAGTCGAGGTCGCGCAAGGACAAAACATAGTGGGAGGGCTTGATGTTATCGGGAAGAACGTCGCGGTCGGTCATTTTGTGCGGATTCGCAGCTCTGGCGTGTGCAGAGCAAGATCGAGAGGGTATCAAAGGAAGAAGGCTGTATGGAGGAGAGAGGAGGAGGGGCAGGTTAGCTTTATGAATGGAGTCTGTAAGTGCCAATTACCTAAGCAGCGCGAGGCAAAGTGCGTAAGATCTGGGTATAGGTCAGGTGCAGTGGATAAGAAGAGGCCGGAAGAGGGAATAAGGAATGAAAATGATTTGCGGAAGAGGGCTGGACGGATTCGAGCCTCCAATCCGAACTGAAGCTTGGCCGAGCTCTGCGTTTTTGTGCTTTAGCGCCCACCTTGTTCCGCATTGAGCCGCTGGCCGTGGCGGGGCACCGACGCTGGTGCGGGGCCATTACTTCGGAGCTCGTTTTGCAAAAGTGCCGTGCAATGGGCGCTGCATTGGATTGGAAGGTGGAAAGAAGATGCTGAAAAGGTGAAACCTGAGAGGATTTATGATTGAATCGTGCCTTTTCACCTTGTCTGCCTGCTTCACTGCTTTGGTATCATTGAAGAAAGGGCTTGGGCAGCTTTCGGATCCCGGAACCGAGGCTTGCCGCTAAGCGGTTGCATCGCTCATCGCTAGGCTTTGTTTGCGCTTAATCCACCAGTATAAGGTAAAAGACTTGACTAGTCGATGGAAGCAGAAGAAGGTGCGTGAACAATGCAAACAGGATTGCGACTGTTCACAGGGCATGGATATGGGCAAAATGACGACACTTGGCATGGAATAGATGGAGTGATATGAGTGATGAGAGGAGGAAGGAGAGCAGAAGACAAGAAAGAAAAATAGCAGACATACCTCCGAATACCAGATGGTTGAGAAGATGAAGATGACCAAGATGAACAAGAAGACGACAATGAAGCCATAGACCGAGACACAGACCGAGAAGATGTTGACAGTGACATCTCAGGCCACAAGGCTGAAGACGGACCCCAAGACCCGTGAAACCGACGAGTCTGATATTGAAAAGCCGCCGCTCCTCCTCCTCCCAGCCCAACCACTCCCGCCGTACCACCAACTTGTGGCCTCCCACAACTCCACGCAGCTACCGATGCATCACCAGCAGCAGCAGCGAATCGCAGACTCGGCGTCGGCTTCGGCGCAGCAGCCGACGCAGCAAGCACCAGCCGCCTCGTCACCCACCCGCTCATGGCCAAAGGGAAAAAATTCTTGTCCAGGAAAAGACACCAAAATCTCTTCAACTCATGACAGAAGTAAGGTTAAGGGTACTAAATGTCAATAAAGAAAAAAAAAAGAAAAGTAACAAAGGGCAAAATAACCCAATCAAGCAATAATTTTTCCGTGAGAGTGCTCTCATACAAGAGAAATAAGGTACTCAGTAGATAGAGCTCGGGTTAAGATAAAAGTTGAAAGCGGAAAGCACCAAATTCCCGCTTTCTGGTCCCACTCTTTTTGGTTCCTACAGCGCCTCCTATAGAACCAGGCAATTCCTACCAATCAGCACCCGACTCACTCGCAAAACAGGCACTTTTGTAGCCCCAAGACTGCCAATCGGATTATACATGAACACCATAAACAAAAGAACCTTGCCATGAATTATGATAGGATTATTCACCCTGTACGTAAAAAGTGAAAGAAAGCATCCCTGGTCTCCGCTTCGGCTTCGGCTCTCATCCGGAGTAGTACCTAGTGCAAGCCGAGAGCCGAGATCAAAGCGTCAAATCCGACTACAAACCTCCACGTCTTTAAGACAGAGATTAAGAGGACAACTACATGATTCTACATCGTTGACGCAGAGATTAAATAAATTGTTTCTTCGAATCGTATATTCTTATTCATATCTAGATCTAAACAATGAAAGAACGATTTAATGGAAAAAACAAAGTATAAAGCGGAAAAAGGCGCTGTTCTCTCAACAAGCATATACCTATATAAAAAGAAAAGTCAGGAGGTTCGCTCTCAAAGACACCCAAATCAAACCCGAATCAAATAAAACAAGACAATGATGCGCTTTGAAACAACAAACAAGAACCAATTGATGATGAAGAAAAAGAAAGCCGCCGTCAAAAGACGCTGCTGAGCACAAGCTCTACCCAGAATGACTCCCTTTGAATCAAAAAATTATTCACACACAACCAGATGTAGCATAGGATGATAATGCAGTGCTTCCCGTAAAACGCCATGTTCTACTCAAGACCCGCAATCTCCAAGACTTTCGACTAGTAAAAAAGAGAAGAACGGAGAGAGAACAAAAAGAGAATATAACAAAAAGTATGTAAACAGAAGAAACAGGGCAAAGACCAGGTAAACTTCCTAATGCATTCATCTTCCACGGCAAGACAGAATATGGCAATAACGTTAGCATAGATGACGCTGCGATCTAAGCACTTGACTCTTCCTGTTGTACCTTGGCAGCAACGGCGTCCCACCACTGGCTGTGTGCAGCTCGATCAACCGCCCCAACCTTGTCCAGCAAGTCAGACATCTGTCTAACATTCTCGACAAACTCAGACAGGCCAAGGCTAGCAAGCTTCTCGCCTGCGGTGTTGGCAGCCTTGACCTTTTCGCTGGCCGATCCAGAAGCCAGACGAGCCAGGATATTGCCTCGTAGACGTGTGAGGAGAAGACGCAAGACTGGGTCGCGAGGCTCTGTAGATCGGACAGCCATCTCCCGGCTCGCTGTCAACACCTTGGTCACCAGAGCACGCAAATGAGTCTTGGTAGGAAGGGGCATGGAACGGCCCGCCTCAAGAGCAGCCATGACGCCGTCAACTGCCGTATCTACCGAAGCATGATTAGCCTCGAGGACAGCCATGACGCGTGCCGCTTCCGTCTTCCATGCCGAACGGACATCTCGCTTCATCAGATTCTTGCATTGCAGCAGCACGGCGCCCGCAGTGATGATTCGCTGGATCATGGCCGATACCTGATTGATGCGTGCCTGGTCAAGGCGGAGCATCTCGGGAATCTGGTCGGCACCAACAGGGGTTGGCTGTGTAAAGACATCCACGAGCATCTGCGCATAAATCTTGGAGGCAGTTGGTCGTGATTTGGGGTGGTTGATGCCCTCAACATCCCGTTTCTGAACCTCAGCCAAGACTTTGGCCCTTGCCGATCGCCATGCTGCTTCGGCAGCAGGCAGGTCTTCCAGCTTGTCCCCCAGCTCCTCAGCAAATCGTTTGGACTCATACGTAGCGGCGGACTCTATCAGTGATGGGCCCGCCGCCTTGAGTAGGTAATTGATGTAGTCGCAGAGCAAGACGTCGACAAAATGATCCAGGGCCTCAATCTTGTCTATCACGCTGCCGTTGCTCAGTCTATTTTGGACCAAATCATTAAGCTGGTCATCTCGGAAGGGCGCGCAGAGCTTGGGCAGAAGGGACGCCATGGCCGAGAAGAATTTTTCGTATGAAAAGCTCCCCATCTCGAATTGCTTGTGCGCAATTTCGACATCTAGAATTTCGCCAATCAGATTGTACATGGGGTTTCCCTCCTTCAAAGGACGTTGGAGCCTGTCCTTAATGTGACCAGCTCTCAGCATGAACAAGCGGAAATTCGCTTCCTTCGGGGCATCGTCCATCGCCGCCCTCATATGAGCGTACAGTGGTCGTGAAACGACGGCCTGTTTCTCTACGTACTCCTCAGCCGGAATCTGGTATCGCTTGTTAATGGCCAGCTCGTGAACAATAATGCGATTGTCTGGAATCAGTCCGTTGAGGCCCGTCTTGGTAGTTGTTGATTTAGCCTGGCTCTTGCTAGCGGGGGTTGACGGAGGAGTAAGCATCTGCGAATCCGACGAAACAAAGTTGCTAGCCGTCGCTTGGGCATCTCCAGAGGCACTTTCGCTGTCGGCAACTCGGGGCTTGGTATCACCAAGTTTCTTGACCCTACGTGATTTTCTGGCTTCGCTTATGGCCTGGAAGATCATCTTCCTTCCCTTCTCAGCACCCGCCAGCTGCTTTATCCTAACAATTAGCATGAGCTGGCTGTCTTGAATGCTTTGTTGATAGAGCGCCGCGGCCGCTTCATCCGACGTCTCTTTGACAGTATGGAAGATGGCATCCAGTTCCACAATCTGCATCAACATGACCTCAATAAGGGCGTCCGAATCTCTCGACTTCCAGGCTATGAATGCATTGTAGAACGCCGAGTATGCCTGTGGAAAGGTGGTCTGCAGTGAAGGGGGCATGGTGTAGCGGTTAGCTGGTGTCAGCCAAGCCAGAATATTTTCAAAGGAGATCAAGACATCTTTTGCCTTGTCAACTAGATCTTGTAGCTGAGGGTTATTCAGATCTGCCGCAGGCAGTCGATGGCCGGCAAACAGCGCTTCCTCATCTCTGGCTTCGGGCCCCTCGTCGACGTTGTTTAGTACCTGGTCAGGATGCCCAAGAATGAGAAATGCGCTCAAGAAAGTGCGGACCGCAGCCATCTCCTCGACAGAGCCTGGCTCGCCCTCCTGGAGGCCACAAATCCTCAGAAGCTGGGATGTGATGAGCACGACATGCGGCTGAGCCAGTAGGCTAACAACGGCATCAAAGGATGTATCTCGTATCCCGTCAACACTGAGGCCGAGAGCATAAAATTGCTGGATAGTCTTCTTTCTTGCACACCCACGCCACCAGGTCTGGATCTTGTTGGCTGCCTCATCGTCAGTCAACGCCGGACGCAAAGCCAGGTCCTTTGCAAGAGGTAGTGCCTCGGCAGAAGACTTCTTGGCAACGACACTCTGGCCCCTGGCGCGCTTCACTGCAGACTTATTGAGAAGCTCCTCTCGTCGTTTCTGCGCTTCGGCCATGCGCTCCTCCATCTGCGCCTTCATCTTTGCAATTTCCTGCTCGCGACGCTCCTTGGTTGACTCGGCAACCAGCTTGGCCTTTTTGACTTCTTCGGCACAGTTGGCCACAATTTCAGCCAAGTTGCGCTGCCGTGCCTCTTGCGCCGCCAACGCACGCTCTTCTCTGGCAGTTTGTCCTCGAGGAGCCGCTTTTGCCAAAGCAGCTCTCAACCGAACCTTTTCGGCATGA